ATAATAGGATGTACGTATTACGACTCACGCATGAATGCACGCATCGCGCATGTTTAGTACAACTGCAACGGCCTACTATCGTGATGTGTGGACGGCGGGGAAAGCATGACTTTCGACTCGGTCGAACTGCCACATGCCTCGACTGTCGCTAGGCGAATCTACACATGCTTTTGGCTGGCGTCACCGTAGCATTTTAAAATCTTGTTCTGGCTGGCACTTTTGCAGCGCGTGTGTGTTCCGAGTGCCCGGCAGGACCGGCATTTGATACACATGCGGTGCATGAGCGTAAGTTGAATCAAGGTTCTAGTGCTATGTTGACGCCGGCTTACAGCACAAATTTTCCTTGTCACAGCCAAGGCACGCCGCAGTTCGACTGAGTTGAAAGCAACTCTTTCTGCTGTTCGCGTTTCTTTCACTCGCAATAATACATACCTAATGAAGCTGCTTCCGTAGTCTGCAATGCACGTGCTGCAGACATTCCGGACTGTCGAGGGAGGTCTCCTCGACGTTTCACACGAAATCCGCATAAAATTCCATCACAGGAACAGCGCGAAACATGCTTACAGCCAGGCTCGAGTTGTGAAATTTTGCGTTTGATTTGCAGAGCGTCTGCTCGCCTGGCAGTTGAGGGTGTTGCTTCACCGGGCTTGCAACAGACAGCTCCACACGCTTTCTAATATGGCAGCAAGCACTGAGCTCGCTGTGTTCTGGTGTGTAGACGTTAACTGCACTATTTCTTACAAAAAAAAAATGTAGAAAAAACACATCATCAAAAAAAAAACATTCAGAGTGTGAAGAAAAAACAATAAAATAATCACTAACATAACTATACCTTGATCTTGAGATCCGACCAGACAGCTGAGTGTGCCGAACCCGATTAGTTTGGGATGTATGTCTCATATTTATTGACATTTCTTAAATTACTTCCCGACTCTTCTTTTCTTTTTGAGTATTATTTAAAGTGGGCCTTATCTTGAAATACGTTTCATGTCTGCAATGAAATTGCACACCGCATCAAATACATCTCTGCGGCGATTTCCCAAAACGGAGGCACCAAAATTTAGAACAGAGTCTGTGGATAAACTTAAACCTAGCTTTGCAAACGGAATAGCTAGATGACTTTTCCTAATTACTGCGTAGTTACGACATGAAACAAAATAATGTTCAATAGTTTCCGATTTTTCGCAGAATGGACAAAGAGTTGAAAGTGTCAGACCAGCTCTGTGTAAATAAAAATTTAATGGGGGAACACAGCACTGGCATCTGAAGATAATAACTTCAAGTTTTTTTGACAGACTCCACTAAGATTTCCATGGAAATTTGAGATAGCTGAAAGGCAAAAACTATCCTCGTTTTCTTCCGATTCAATGCACTAAATGTTTCCTACTTCCCTCCGGGATATTTCTGCACCCAACATGGTTTTCTTCATCTGGTTATGCACCTCAGCTGGTTATGCACTGCCCTTATGATCGGCCCATTTCAACCAACCGAAGACATTATATGATGCCGTCAAGATATGTGACCTTCCGATACGTCACTAACATTCATGATATGTGATGTCATATGATGACGTTTTCACACAATTATGATTTCTTGCATCACTCGTGTTCACGCCATCGACGCGAGAAGACGCCGGACGCCGCCGGCGATCAATTTTCGCTTTTGATGAGACATTTAAAGCTATCGTCTTAATGCACTGTACGGCTGTAGCTCCGTGAAATTGCAGCTTCTGCTGGTGTTCGGGGGAGCGTGCTTGCAGTCATCAGGTAGAACAATTGGTCTCCTAATAAATTATCGTACAACACTCCAATATGTAGCTGTCATTTACAACTTGAGATATTTTATAGATTAAGAGTAGTGGCGGCTGAAGACTACCAGTCACGTTTGGCAACATGGCAATTGGAATCGCTAAACGGGAGTGTGCTACCTCCGCACAGTCAACAATTGAGTCTATCAGTAGCAATGCTGCCTCGCGATTGCCGCCGTGTGCAACGCTAACATTACACCCTGAAGCTGAATGGTAGCCCATGGGCACCAGAGTCATTTGGCCTCTACTCTGCTCGCTACCGAATTAATAGGTTGGAGGGAAGCAGAAAGAAACAGGGCTGAGCAGCCGTTTATTGAGGCTACAACAATCCATTCAGGAATACTCCAGACAAGCTCAAGTAACTGACCACAGGCCGCATTTTTCATGCCTGTCACATTGGCTCAAGTTGAGAGTCGGCATTAGACTTCAGACTTTAACAGTGCCTGTTGAAAACACAGGCAACGATCGCAGAAATCGCACCGCATATGGAGCTGTTATTGTTTATTTCACGATGATTTCATTGTTTAAGCTCTCAAATCGTGAAATAACCTGCCACAGTTCCTCATTTTTTGACATTTGCTTTTTCTCGGTCGCAGCACGTCAGGTTTTGCAAAAGGAATGAATGATGACCTATATTCCTGGAATCAGTCTAGTGACATTTTGTGCTATTTAGTGCATAACCTCCAGGCTTGCGCATAATGTGCTACGTCACTAGAGAGTAGCAAGCATCGGGGAATATTAGGCACCCAAGCTTTTAATATTAGCTTCTGGCAAAGGCTTCTCTCAAAAATTGACTTTCAGTTAGTCAAAAAAGCAACTCTTAGTCTAGCAAACACCATGGTGACAAAATGATCTTCTGCAGATTACTTGCATCGCGGGTTCAAATCCCGGCTGCGGCGGCTGCATTTCCGATGGAGGCGGAAATGTCGTAGGCCCGTATGCTCAGATTTGGGTGCACGTTAAAGAACCCCAGGTGGTCAAAATTTCCGGAGTCTTCCACTACGGCGTCTCTCATAATCATATGGTGGTTTTGGGACATTAAACCCTACATATCAATCATCAATCATTAGTTGTGGTGCATGGCGGTGAAACACCGCACTAGCACCGACGTTTGCTTCTCATTGAAATCCGCTCCTTCGCCCGGGCACTGAAAAAATATAGGAGGCACTGTACGAGCACAGCGATCGATATGTTGATGGAGAGGAGCTAGTCCAACAACTGCAGTGTGTCGATGGGGAGGAGCTAGTCCAACAAGTGCAGTGTGTCGAACGTAGCGCACGCCACTACGTTCAAGTGGCGCCTGGGTGTTATCTATGTGTGCAGTGGTTGTAAACGCCCACCGCGCTCAGGGGCTCCAGAAGTATATCTGAAATTTGGGGGGCGACGTTTGTGGGCAAGTATATATACATATATATGTGTGTGTGTGTATGTACATAATATGGGCGTTGCTACAGATCTGTTTTTGCTATGGCGAGAAAAGGAGGGGGGAGGGGTCGTAGCAGCTTTAAGTGGGGGGGGAGGCATGCCCCCCTAGTTTCTAACCTGTGGAAACAACGCCCCCCCCCACCCCCCCGGTTCCAGAGCCCCTGAACCACGCTTCCGCTAGTTTCGAGAGTGTTGCGGGAAAGCTCTCAGCCTGTCAACGAAGCGTGGGCGGTTTGGCGTGGCCGAGTTCGATATATCCATTATGGTTCAAACATCGTTCGAAATAAAGAAATAAAAATGCATGTTATTTACAGTGTGATGTGGGAATCATTCGATTAGGCAATAATTCGATATATCAAGGTTTGACTGTATATTTTTTCGTTCACATATTGTAGATAGACTGCATGGCTAGTGTACCTTCCTTGGCCTTCGTTGAACCTTAAACACTGAACAATCTTTGTCACAAAGCCCTAGCAAAGTCACTGACCTAATAAAAAGTAATTTCACATTGTAAGTGCGAGCAAAAAAAAATAAACAGTTTTATTGATATGGCTTGTGAGCACATTCATATAGCTTTTTTATAAATTCTTCAAGGCTTTTTTTAAATAGAAAACTGTTTTATGTCATTGCTTCAAACCACACTTTAACCATGTTCTATAAAAATGCCGAGCACTGCAATGACAACAGAGAAATTTATCTGATGGTCATATAGTTCTGTCATGTTAACCCTAGTGGATTAAAGAGGCAATTATAAGTTCTGTTGTTTATATAAAGATAAAAAAGAAACTCATTGAAAGAGTAAGGCATTTCATGAAAAATGACAGCAGTAGTATGAAACATAAGATATGCCCTAGATGCAACAGACTTTCACGTTCCTACCATTTTCTATGTGCCATTCAGGCACAATGTCATGCTCACTTATGTATCACCAATGATTATAATTTGAATTGTGCTTATTATTAAATTATGCCTCGAAAGTTTGCAGTGACTGGTTGATATTATTAGTACTCTTATTTGGGGAGGTGTCATACCGAGTTATACATTTTTTCCAACTCTCACTCATACAGTTAAACTTCTTTATAAGAGGAATGCTCCGGGCAGCAATTCTTTTTTTTTATTTGAGGTGTCTCTTATACGTAAGGTATATTGTAAGCGTTTTCTTCTCAAACCCTATTTCAATGTAAGCACACTGATGTCTCCTATACCCATTTGTCTCTTATATCAGTGTCTTTTATATCAGGGATTCGACTGTAATTAGGTCTTGAAAGAAATAATTGCACTTGATTATTGGCATGGCAGTGTAAGATTTTTTAAGGTGCTATATTGTTTAGGGCTGTATTACCTAGGCTTCTGGTATATTGAGGGGATGAAACACAGACAGGATGCACTGTTTTAAGCACATAGACAGAAAGTTGTTCAAACATTAGCATGCGTACGGGCATGCAAAGCTGGTAGCTTACCACAGTTTTGTATGCAGTTTGTCCTCCCTTAATGTAATGAGCGCACTAGGTCATCTTTTCACAACGGCGTTTGGGATCAAGCAAAATGTCAGGGCTCCTTGAAACTTCTGGCATTGCTACAGTGCAACACAAGATTCAAGGATCTGGCATCGTAACACTTATAATGGCTGTTCACAGGAGGCTTTGTAGCCTGGTGATCTAATACTTAAGGCATCAATAAAATTTTCATGTGTATTACAAGATATCACTGTTTTTTTCTTTTGTGCCAGAGCTGACTACTAACAGCATCTTGCGATCCTTATGTCTAGGTGCTCTTGATAACCCAGAAAATAGTCTCGACAGAGAAGCTTGGCGAGAGCAGATTGTGGACCTCACCCAGAGATGCTTTGTGGAAGTGGACAAAGAAGAGTGGACTCTGTCATTGGGAAAGGCTATGCAGGCACAACTTAGCCTGTATAGTGCATACCCAGATGATAAGGTCAGTGTAAAAATTATTGTCTATGCCTCTTGTACATTCCAAACATGCCTGAGTTGCTCGAAATATTTTTTGATAGTGAAAGCAGGCTTTATTATTATTAATGATAATTATATTTCATGTCCACTGCAGGACAAAAGCCATTCCTTAATTTGATTTACCTTGTCCTGTGCAAGCTGATTCCAATTCTATTAAGTTCTTGCAAGTTCTTACTCATGCCATCTAACCCTCTGCCACTTTTGCCTGTGTCTCCTATCCCTTGGTATCTACTCCATAGCTCTCGTTGGTCATCGATTATCTGTCCTATGTGACCACCCAGGTCCATTTTTTTTTTCTTGATGTCAAGAAGAACATTGTCAACCCTTGTTTGTTCTCTAATGCACTCTACTGTTTTCTACTCTCTTATTGCTACACCTGTAGTTTCAGCTTCCTTGCACACTGACTTGTCCTTAGCTTCTCAAGTTCCGTTGTTTTCCTGCAAGTTTTGCCCCATGTCTTAGTACTGGCAAAATGAAACAGTTGTATGATTTCCGCTTGAGAGACAATTGTAACTTACTTTCCACAGCTCAAGAATGTCTTTCATATGTGCCTGTATTCTAGCCTACCTGTATTCTTAAGCATGTTTCTTTTACATGATGAGAAGGCTTCCCTGCTAGCATAGGTGTGTGCAGTGTGTGGGGTCTCGAAATGAAGCACCATGCTCTCAGAGTTAACTTACACAGCAGACGCAGTTGGAGCCAATGGATGGATGGATGCAAAACTTTATTTGAAGTCCTGAGGTGCATGACTCAACATGCAGCGGACCACTCCCACGTTGGGACAGTCAGGCCAAGCCCGACCGCCATAGCGTGGGCCCTCTGTACAGCCCACAGTTCATACCAGACATCGGGGCTCTTGATAGCGGACAACCACTTTTATTCGTTGGATTGGTCCGTGCCCCACAATGTGGGGCAACGCCAGAGCATGTAGTCTAGGCTAGAGAATTCGTTGCAGTGCCTGCAAGAGCTATTAGGATAAATGTCGGCATAAATTTCATGCAATAAAGCCGGGCTGGAATACGAAGCTGTCTGTAGTAGCCTGAGAGTCAATGCCTGCGCTAGATTTAACTTATTATTAGGAAGAGGAAAGTCTCTCCTGCCGAGATAAAAGTGCTGGGTAATTTCATTATAAGTGGTCGGTTGATCTCTGTTCTCCACAACTGCGGGCCGGAGGGGTAGTTCTCCGTAGTCGCGGAAAGCGAGACCTCGCGCCTTGGAGTGTGCCAGCTCGTTCAGGTTTGCGGGGCCTCCCCTGATGGATCCTTGTGAGTGGGGAACCACGTGAGAGTGTGGTGGTGATGCTTTTGCCCTCTAGTATGCGATAGGCTTCTTTACACACGGTGTCAACGCTAAAGGCGCGGATGGTTGCCCTGGAGTCGCTTGTCATCCAGAAGCGCCAAGGCAATGGCCACTTGCTCGGCTGCACACGTTGACGAGTATTGTACTGAAACAGCGTTAATGGTGGAACTTCTGTGGTTGATTGATGCTGTTGCAAAACAATTTCTGTTGTCACATTGGGCCGCTCTGTTGTCATATTGGGCCGCGTCGACAAAGGAGCTTCTGGCAGAAAGTTCTGACACCCGACGTAGCAGCATCACCGCCCTGGCCTTCCTTTTTTCTGCATTACGCTGGGGATGCATATTGCGTGGGGTGGGGGATATGATGAGATTAGATGTCTTCAACTTTGGCGGGTGGAACGTCCATTTCTATGAGGAGTCGTCTGCCTGCCCTGGTGCCAGAAAGTCTGACAATCTGTGCTCTTTCTTGTGCTTCTGCGAGTTCTTCCAGGGTATTGTGAATTCCCAATTGCAGGAGTCGGTCAGTGCGTGTGTAATTTGGTCGTCCGAATGCGCTTTTGATCACCCTCCTTGGCATTTAGCTCGTCTCGCTCGGCCCTCTTCCAGATGTGCATAGCCGCTACATACATGAAAGGGCATAACAACAAAGCGTGTATGAGTTTTATCATGTTCTCTTCTCTCGGGCCTCGCCTTCTGTTAGCTACCTGCTTGATGAGACCGATGATGCTATCCGTCTGCTTTGACAATTTGTGCCTGCTGCTTCAAGGGTCATTCCCAAGATGCGAATACTAGATGACTTTGGGAATCGGATCTCCACTCTTGGTGTAGAGATCAATGTCAAGTTCGGAGGGTGGGTTCCACTTTTTCGGCTTGGGTCCTTTTCTAGTGGGATTGTATAGAAGGAGCTGTGATTTGTTCGGGAAACACCGGAGTCCCGTGCCTTCTAAAAAGCGCACTGTAGTATCGACAAATTTTTATGATAACACTGCATCATCGTGGTTAGCGCAGTAGCGTCGGCAGTGACACCTGGCAGCGAAGCTGGCTGGCAGCACAAGGCACATGAGCAGCCCTTTTTGGCGTGTGGCGGCTGGCGTAAACTGTTGTCTCCCGCAGTAGGTCCATAGGTGGACGGCACTGCGGGTCCGCCGTGCGCCCTCGTGGGTAGTCTAGCATTGGCGGCGCCGCTGCCTTTGTGCTACCTTGCGTTTGTTGTTATGCTTGATTGGGTGTATCGGAATATTGTGTAAGGTTGTGCTTAGTGTGTGGGTCAGTGTATTGTGATTCGGCTGACGATGTCATTGTAAAAAGCAGGTAAATGTGTTTTTTGGTTTGGTCTGACCGCGTCTGCTGTGTCTGTTCACTCAGAAAGCAAGGTGCTTCATTTCGAGACCCCGCAAGGGTTCCCCTTCAGGGGGGCAACGGTTCGTTGCAGCGCCTCCCTCCCTATTATGTCAATGAATGGAGCTGATTTTATGCCTCCCCTCCTCTCTATTATGTCAACGTATGGGACCGACTTTGCTCTTCCCCCCCCCTCCATGCATACACCTATGCCTGCTAGCAACTGACCTAAATATACATCCTCTTGTGTAGATTCTGTAAATTGTATAGATTGTGTAGGGGAAGAAAAAAAAAGTGAGAAATAGAAACAGTGCTCAAGGTCACGACATGCATGTGACGTATTTTTTTCCCTATGCCATCTCTCCCGCCTCTGCTTCAAGCACTAAAAAAACGAGAAGAGAGAATACTATTGCAACATGTGCCAAATCTTTGAGACTCTCCTCATACAAGACAAGTTCTAAAAATGTTTGTGGTGGTTGATTCATAAAGCAATAAGCTTCTTTAGTGAATCCATTCCATGGCTCCTTGAAAAACTGTTGTAGGGTCTTCTTAAATGAACATGTTATCCTCAAAATGATTGATCATTTTTTAAGCTTAAAAGCTTCTTTTGCCAGCTTATACACTCTAACTGCAATGAATAATGTTACGTATCTTACAGGTTATCACTTGCATCCTTCTGAAAGTCAAATCCTGCTACTTTTCAAAGTTGTCTTGACTTCCTTTGGACGAAAAAAGAAAGGCATTTGCATAGAGGCCTTACGTCAATTAAAAAAAATATTGTGCTGGTTAGGTCATAAGTACAGTAGACTCCTTTTAAACGAAACCTGAAGGGACCAGAAAAATGTATTCCTTTTTAGAGGAGTTTCGTTTATGGAGAGATAAACAGGGGTATAATATTGAAATACGAAATCAAACATATTAGTGGCAGGGGTTTCATTTAAGAGAGTTTCGTTTAATAGGAGTCTACTGTATGCCCTTTTTTTCTTTATACGCCATATGTTCTATTCGAATTCAACTTGAAATTATTTGACCAAAATTACTATTAGCTTCGGAATGGCTTCAAACTTAAAATTCACTATTTGCATAAGCCTGATAAAGGACCAAATTTTATCCCCTGGAAAGTAGCATAATACTCCAAACACACACTTTCAAAAGTGAATGCCTCTTTTATAACCCAGTGCTACTTTAGAGGTGGATGCAAATATGCCATTTTCATAGAATAATCCACATGGAATAAGAGTCAAATAAACAATAAAGTGATTGTCTAATATGAATGAAATTTAAGGGCCAATTCGCACTGTTCACTTTCTAGACCAGGCATCATTCCTTCATTTACAATAGCCTGCATCTCACTAGTCTAAACATTAGCTAATGAGCTGGCGTTTCTGGGTAAACATATGGAAAAGTATTTGCTAAAAAAATTATATGCTTCGCTATAAAAGCTATTGTTTATAATTGTAAAGTGCTTGATTTATTGTACCAAGTTTTGTTTATTTGTTCATCAATCTCAATTACCATTGTAAAGTTTTTCTCCATTTTCATCATTATTGTCAGCCTATGTTATGCCCAATGCAGGATGTAGGCCTTTCTTAATTATCTCTAACCTAGCGTGTCTTGCGCAAGCCAATTCAGACAAGAGCAAACATTGCTGGACTCTTGACAACTGAAAAACGACGGACAGGGGCACTGATCAGTGCTCTAATTCAGCACTCTCGTCTGTCATTCTTTCGCCGTCCCGTGTCCAGCGCTGTTTATTCCCATCTAAATCATGAACAAACCAAGCCAGTTAAGGGGCACTCCTGAAGCTGATTCAATGCTATATCTGCGAATTAATTTTGTTGCTCTGCCAAACCCTTTGCCATCCTTAGCCGTACTTCACATTAGTGTCCATTCCTGTGCTCTGTCCATTACATTCCTGTGCTCTGACCATTACAGCTGAAAGCCCATTTGGGGTCGTCTGACCAGGTTTTGGCTAACCGTCATTGGCCTGCATCTGCATTATGCTTTCCTGGTGTAATAGTGTGTTATATCTCCTTAACACAAAAATTACGATTTGTTGTCTATGAATGTGTTGAAGTCTCATAGAATAATTTGAAGGCATGTAATATTACATTTTAAGAAAGAAAATGAAGTATTGCATCGTAATATGTGTTTCAGTGATTAATTATAATGAGCATGAAATTGAATATTTCATTATTAGACTGTCAGTTGTGTTTCATTTTGACATAAAAAGAATTAAGTCATAGGCTCTAAATTTGTGCACAGTTAGTTTTTGGTTGTATTCTTTTCGAAGAAAGAAAATTAATGCATTAGTCATCGCTTCTTGAACACGGCATGTCAGATGACCAGTCGAACATTTTAGTGCCTTCATCAAAGTCGTAGGAGGCACACTGAGGTTACGTCAGGGAATGCTAATCATTTGGAAGGTTCAGTTCATCCAATTAGCATGTATCTTGTTCTCTTTTGGCCACAGGTTGACAGAACTAGCGTAAACAAGTTGTGTACATTAGCATAACCACCACTGTTGGAAAGAATATTACAGCAGTGCCACTACATATTTTCATAATGTAACCAGGCTCCTGGTCGTTGTAGCTTTTCTGCATTTTAAAAACTGTTTGACACATTGTAATGAAACCAACATTAAAGCCGAGGAAAGTATAGAGGACATTTTTTGCAATCTCTTTTAACTGTAAATATGGCATAATCAACTGAGGGTATTACACAGCATATTTTTATTTTCATACTCGAATTCCCCATGACGTAAACATTAGCGGGCCTCGCATCATTTCAGCCCACAGATATTATAAACACAAAATAAGAGAATATAAATGCAATACATCGTCCTTCAGCAACTCTTTTTTCTGAGAACTATCAGTCCATGGAATCAACTTCCTTCCATAATTGTAGAAGTTTCTTCTACTGATGCGTTCTTTTCTGCAACGAAAATGATTAAATCTTTTGATCACTAAGCCTTATAAATTTTGTGTGTGTGCCTAGTTGTTGCCATGATGAGTACCGTATCTTGCTTTTAAACCATTTTGTGTTTTCGTGCTTCATTTGCCCTTGTACTGGACCAATGCTGCACTTTTTTTAAATTGTTCTTCTCATTGTCAATAACTTTTGTGGTTTCTGCATTTTTTCAGTTTTGCAGTACATATGGCATTTGTGATGCAGCTGTACTCAATGCACCTGTGTATGTGTGGTGCCTTGCGTGATCTACTTTTTTTCATGTACACTATGTTATGTGAGCCTGCAATTTTCATGTGTTCTTTTTCTGTACCCCCCCCTCCCTTCCCACCGTAATGCCTGAAAGGGTGCTGTGGGTATAAAATAAAGTAAATGTGAAGGAATTAAGGTAGACAAAAAGTCGACTTGTCGCTGGCAGAGACCAAACCTACTTACAACTACAAGGGGGAGGAAGCAAGAAGTAAAAAAAAATCTGCATGTTAGAACATCTTCACAGGCCAGCCCCAGTGTTAGCATGAACATTCTGGCATGTGGCTCTAGCTCAAGATGCAGGCAAAAGCGCAGCACATGCATGAATTACTAAGTAGGCAATAATTGGTAATTTGCAAATCACTTATTATGATGCAAATCCTTTCATTCCACCTGCAAAAGGCCTACTGTCCAAATGATCATACTGTATCACTTACAGAGGAAATCAAAGAAGGGGAATGCATTGATGAACTTGCTCTTTCCTAGATGCAACCCACTGAAGCCAGCAGATAATGAATATTGCCACACTCCTTTGTCAAGTTTTGTTATCACGCCATTACACATGTGAATGCTGCCTTGTGCTAGCCGCGCCGATGGTCTAAGAACCATCGAGATAATCGTAGAACCTTGCAATGCCATTACGTGCACAGTGCGAACATGGAGCATACATTGAGAACATACAGCTAGCGATAACGCTGAAACATTTGACGGCAAATGTATAAATACAGATGCGCATCGCTGCTTGGCAGTTGATCGACAACCAATGCCCTGATAGGTATGTGGGGTTTAACGTCCCAAAACCACTATTTGATTATGAGAGACGCCGTAGTGGAGGGCTCCGGAAATTTCGACCACCTGGGATTCTTTAACGTGCACTCAAACCTGAGCACACGGGCCTACAACATTTCCGCCTCCATCGGAAATGCAGCCACCGCAGCCGGGATTTGAACCCGCGACCTGCGGGTCAGCAGCCGAGTACCTTAGCCACTGGACCACCGTGGCGGGGACAACCAATTCCCTGTTCGCCGCTATTAGTGCCAGTGTGTATCGCTGTAATCTGACTTTCCATTTACCGCCCACAAGTTTGGCCAAATAAACAGCTTCATTTTGGACAAGCCATCTCTGCCTTTGTGAGCCTCACGAACCTGTGACAACATACGAGGAAAGCATCGGAAGCAATATGTGCACTTCTTTTTAATTTGAAGTGTGGTAATTTTGACATTGAGAAAAATAAGTGAACAAAAATAAACAGGCGGCCAGTAGGGAATGAACCCACAACCTTTGAAAACTGCAGATTTAGGTTGGATGAATTTATAAGCATGGCTAGGTTTGCAGATAATGGATGGCTTGCACCATTTTTGCAAGATTCTGTGGATGTACAGGGCTCAGGACTGAAATGCAACATCTGAACTTATAGTGCAATGACTAATGTATGTAATTCTTCGTAATTACTACGTCATGCTGCTGCGGATGTTGGATTTAATGTAACTGTTACAGTTGGAACTACGTTGGTTTGACGCAAACTGAAGATAGTAAATCAAAAGTATGTGCATTAGTTAAATTGTGTAACCCTGATTTGTTGCGTTTCAATTCGTGAGCATTGTAAATGCTTGTTAGTGATGCTTTTTATTACCTGTGCCAGTGGCAAAATTTCTGCATTCTTCTTATACACAGTTTTTATCTTTGCCTTTCTCAATCACCATTCTTGATTTTTCTGCAGTGCATGCTACTACAGTTGCTTGGAGCAGTTATGAAAAAAGTGAGCAGCAAGCAGTTCATAAATGGAGCTCTAGACAAAATATTTGAGCATATCAACCATGTACACCCACGGGAAAGAGAGGTAAATATATTTTTTTTCTATTTGCTTCACCACAGTCTGTAAACACAGAGGAGCTGCTTTGCCCAAAGTTGCATTAGGGATTTGAATGCTGCTCTTAAAACATCTTAGGTCTGTGCAAAGTGCTCATACTGTGTTTGTCTTTAAAGCTGTGTTTTTTGCAGCATCACGGTTAAGTGAGATCTCATTAGACTAGGACATTCCATAGTATTTGGGTGGGATCTTACATGTCTGTGTGTTCTGTATACTGCAAATAATTTGTATTTTGCAGTCCATACTTTTGGGGCTTCACATACGAATCAAATAGTCTAAGAAACACAATTTAAGGATTTACAATTCAAAATTGTTGAATGCTTATTTGTGTTAGAATATAAGAAGGCTTTATGGAGCCTCAGGAAAGAAAGATGAATGCAAGTAGAGTCTTTTCAATTATTCTACTACATGCGAGTGGCACTTGTGCAGGGACATCAACTTCAAAGCTAACGTATAGAGTACACAGTTTTCACGCAGTAATTTTGTTATTCAGTAAGAATTAGTTGGTTTTAGGGAGCAGTGAATTTACTGTCTTCTTCCGCTTTTTTCTTTTCTTTCTCTTCTTTTGTCTCTCTCATTTTTCTATTTCGCTTCCCTAATCTCGCAGTGTAGAATAGCCAACCGGAAGTCTTTCTGGTTAACCTCCCTGCCTTCTCCCTTTCTGTTTGCTTCCTTCCTTCCTAGAGAGTTTTCAAATCTGTTGTCTTGATTAAAAAAAACGTTTATTATTTTCATTGCCTTGCCAAGTTGGCATGTTATCAAAGCTGTGTAAGATGCTTTAGTAGGATCACACAGCACTCAAATGCATAATATGGTAATATGCTGTTGTTTTGATTTCATTGTTAGAGTGCACCAGATAACTGAAAGCAGCTGTTATACAAGCTCCTCTCTTGACTGGATGTACACTTGTGAACAGCGTTACGTTCGTTTATAAAATATGTGCATAAATAAGTGGTTTTCTAATGACCTAACAGAAGCAGCCCGAACTTTACAGTATTTCCCTTTGTTAAAAAAAAAGCGAGGAAAACTTGGTGGGTGACCACTGATGGGCCATTCGAAGATATTTTACTTAGTAATCTTTATCCTATTCAATTATAAATGTTGACCATTCGAGCACTCCTTACATTTTGGTGTTGTAGTTTTTTATTTCCTTGACTTTTGTCACTTAGTTTTAAACATTTGCTTTCAGGGTTGTGCTCTTGCAGTAGGTATGTGTGCTGCATCTCACTTGGATGCTGTGGTAGTAAAGCTGGAGCAAGTAGCAAAAGACGACCTTCGTAAGAATTCGGGAATTCTTAGCTTTCTCAAGGTGAGAAAACCCTTGTTGTATTTATCATACTCTTAATAAAACATGATATTAAGATGGGCATGCTTGTGCTCACATGAACACGGACACCAGTCGGTGGGTTTACTTCAACATGTTTCCGGCACCTTAAGTGTAATTTGTGAAGTTTTTTTTAGCATATAGAACGTGGACTCTGTGAAAGATGCTGTTTGGAATGTAATTTATGAAGTCATTTTGTTAAGAATGTATTTAGCCATTTTGAAATGTAGGCCTCGGAGAGAGAGAAAGAGCGCTCTTTATTGAAAAGCAAAGAATTTGGCCGGCGTGTGTATATTGCTGACTTGCTACTCTGCGTGGGGAAGGGACTGAAAGACAAGAAGAGAGAGAGGAAAAAAAATATTTGAAAATTAAACTGGAAAGAAAAAAAATGTAAATGTGCAGACATTTTTTTTGTCTTTGGGTTGTGAACGTGTGCTGACAGAATGACTTATTACGAGTTTTCAAGGTGTTACAACAGCTTGTCTAACTGACCGATATTGTCTGAATACATGAATAAAAGTTTCATCCCATGCCTCTGTTGCGTGAAGCTGGGGAAAGGCCCCAAGACACAGTTAACTGATAAAGTTATTTAGGTTAATATATGCAGTGTTCATAGAGTGTATGCTTATCGGCATACACTCGTCACTCAAACAAGATATGTTCTACAGTTTCTATGGAGCCACAGTTATTGCAGTATGGACTTTCTGCTTTACCAAAGCGGTACTGTAAATAGTTTCCATAAGCACTGTTCAGCCGGAGACGACGGTAGAAAAAGTAGAAAGTTTCCAGGTGTCGAGGGATTCAGGATGGGAGTCTAGTTCTTAGATGTAGGTGGATAGAGTGGATGAAAACATAACGATGTGTCAGGAGGTTCCAGAGCTTCTTTTTTTTTTTCGGAAGCAAGTATTTTAGTCAGTTGAAAAGTATCTGATTTGGTGAAATAGGTTCACCTGTAATTTTGCTTTTGAAGTCCTTTGCAGGCTGCTTCATCTGCTTTTTTATTGGCTAGTATACCCCAATAATTCGGTACCCATTGAAAGGTGATAACGTGACCTGCAGTAATAGCCAAGTGGTGTAAATACGCTATATCAAATGAAATCGGATGATAATTTGTTTTCTTTAGGAGGCTGAACAGTATTTGTAGTGCTCCCTTGGAGTCGGTGAAGATCACCCATCGGTTTGGCGTTTGACACAGGATCACATCCCAGATGTCTTTAATGCCATGAAGTTCTGCTGTCGTTGATTGTGTCCTTCATTGTAGCTGATAAAATAGACTTTGTCCTGTAGAGGGGACATCCTGTAAAGACGAAATCTCCTGAGTAGTTTAGGTGTCAGTATAAATATGAGAATGCTGAGTGTGATGCTGGGCTATGTAGAAGAGAGTAGTTTGCAGCAGTGCGGTCTGTGCAATACGTCTCTTTGCTTCATTGATGCCTGGTACACATGGTTTAATATAATGAGGTGAAAGCGTCCAGGGAGGAAATCTTGGCGGCATTCATTTCTTTAGCTTTCTAATAGCAGTAAGTTGCTGCATTTGCACAGTTTGACCGAATACTGAATTGCTGTGGGTGAGATGTACGCACTACAAAAAATGCTTTTTACCATGTAAGAAACGACAGAAATGAGTGCGCAATATTTTTTTAGTGCAGATGACATCTAGTGGGAGACATCCTGCTTCTGCTACAGTTCCAGAGGCTAATGAGCTATTTGGGAGGCCTAGACAGATTTGTAGGCAATTGTTTCGTGCGGCTTCTAAAGATCTCTTGTTTGCTGGTGATAATCAGTGAAGCACTGGCAGGAAATAACGTAAGGTTCCTTCGATAGATGCTTTCTCAAGCAGGACCATTGATCGGCACTTACATCCCCATCGTGTTCCTGCCATGAATTTGCAGAGTTGTGATGCTGCAGCTATTCTAGCTCCAAGTTTGTTCACCTGAGGAGACGAGGAAAGACTTATATCGATGACTATTCCAAAAAATCGCTGAGATCCTACCTATGTCAGCAGCTGGCCACCAAGGAGGAGCGAATACTTGGTCATTTTCTTTCTCATGAATGCGATGGTTGTGCTCTTGTCTGAAGAAAAATGCATACCCTGGGGAGCCAAATACGTGGACAGGTTCCGTAAAGCTTTTTTGAAGGCATTGTTTGGTAACAAAAGATGAGCTTGAAGCACTCCAGATACAGATATCGTCGGCATAAATTGTGATGTGCACTCCTCACAGCAATATCCTTGTTATATTTGTCAGGGTGATGTTGAAAAGGAGTAGACTGAGCACAGCACCCTCAGGCACGACAGAAATGAGTGCCTGAGGAAAGACTTATATGCTGCGTAAAACTGTGGGACCATTTGGAGTGCACATATATATTTTTCGTTCTTTTAAATAGCTCTCAATTCATTTATACAGTCTTCCTCCAAGACCAAGACTGACCATGGCTGCAAGAATTGCATGGTAAAAGACGTAGTCAAAAGCTGCCTTGATGTCGAGAAAGATGGTTATTGGAAAGCGTCTAGCAAAGAGGTCCTCTTCGAGTGAAGAGACGAGGGTGATTACATTATCGAAAGCTGATCTGCCTTGACATTATCGAAAGCTTTATCGATGACATTATCGAAAGCTGATCTGCGTTCATTTCTTGGGGAAATTTGTCGTGGCTTTCTAAAAACCAAGTCATTCGTTTATGAACCATCCGCTCTATAAGCTTGCCAATGCAACTCAGCAGGGCGACGGGCCGGAAATAGGCGTAGCTTGTTGACTCCTTTGAAGATTTCAAAATGGGCACTATTTTAGCGAGTTTCCATTCTGCGGGAACCTCGCTGGACAGCCATGAAGAATTGTATTATTATACGAGTCGTATGCAGGAGGTGTGGGGTAACTTTGCGATGGCTTCATAGCTTATTTCGTCGTAACCGGCTGATGTGGGCCTGTTTTATTCGCTGATTGCAGTGTTCAGTTCTTTATGAAAGGCAAATCCAATGCTGGCACTGCCTCTTGTGAGTTGTCAGACTTGTTGCTTGTGGAAGAGCTGCAAGGTATTGAAGTTGATAACAGTGCGCAGTATCCTTCTGACAGCTCTTTGAGGGATTGGCATTCGTGAAGAGAAAGTGCAAGGAAAGGGAAAGCTGTTGGATTGACTTGGGCATGCCTATAAATACCTGCCATATTTTGGCTATCGGTTGACGAATATCCACTGTGGAGCAAAAGTTGCGCCATCTTTGCCAGCTACGTTTATCCAGGTAACGCGGGATATGACGTGTCTGTCGGCAGGCTCGAAGGTCTTCAGGACACTTTGTGCGCAATACTTTCCTATCAACTCACCTGCGAATAGCACACAGTTTTTCAAACTCCTCGTTTGACGGAAATCTGTCATTCTTAGCTGAAACGCGTGGGCATGCACTTAGGAAATGAGACATTGTAGTGAGTAATTCTTTGTCCTTGGTGGCAGCAGTGATTCCTTTGCTAGCAGCATCTTTGTATGCATCCCAATCTGTAGATCTTTCAACTAATTTCTTTGAAGACATTTCGACCGAACAGCTGATATGATGATTGGGTAGTGATCACTCCCCCGAGTTTCCAAGTCCGTGCACCAGTGAAAGTTACGGGCAACTGAGCTTGTTGCGAAGGTCACTTCGATGCTGCTGGTAGTCGAAAAGCATCGTAGATATGTGATGCTGCCATCATTCAGAGGTTCATTGCAATGTTTTGAAAGTACTAGTTCAGTGAGCTTGGCTCCTCGCACACAAGTGTGTGAGCTGCCCCAAATTTCATTGTGGGCATCGAAGTCTACACAAGTGATGTGTGGAGAAGGTGTTCTTGAGATCAAATTTTCAAGTCCTGAAGCATGGAAAGGCTTGCCTGGCTCCAGGTATGCTCCAATGAGTGTGTATTCTTGTTTACTTATTACTGTGATGGCGCACACATATTCATTGTCATTGTAGGGTGGGATGTCGATCTCAGAAGTCGGAATATCTCTGCGAATGCCTATGAGTGGTCTGCTGATATTGTCAAGTCGTTTTGAATGATGAAAACAATACCCGTTCATTCTGTAATGTGGTCCAACTCGTGATTCAGAGATGACGATGAAAGGAAATCGGTACACTCGCACCAGCTGTTGGAAATCTAAAAGCTTTGAGCGAAGCCTGCGAGCGTTGCGCTGGTAGATGGTACATGTGCGAAATATATTGACAGTTCAGGTGGCGATGTCATTGGGGAAGCCATGATTGCTAAGTAGGCCCCATGTCATAGGTCCTGAACATTTCTGGCTTTGGACAACCCTGACAACTTCTCCAAAGTGCCACAAAACCCCTAACTTTCCTCCTAAATCTGAGGAAAATAGGGGACAATGAGGCATTGGCCTGCTGTCTTTAATGTCAAAGGACATCGGTGCTGATATATTGTGCGGTGCAAGTCGACATAATAATGTTCAAACTCCCTCTATCCCCCACTTCGTGCACCACTCCACAAATTGTGATGTACCTGCTGACTGCACAGGTGTTGCATGCTTTAGGCACTATGTGCAATAAACAATGTCTTAGCGTAAGCTAAATGCCATACATACAAAAGCCTGTTTAATTTCTTGCAAGAAAAATAACATAAAACATGTCTGTCTCATTGCAAATGGTCATTGACATGCTGGTCACAAGGCTCAGCCTCATGTAGCCTTTAGCCTGCATGAACCGATGCCTCTAGTATGTATCAAAGCACAAGTTGTGCATTTGGTTACTGCATTTTATCACAAAACCGACGTGGTGCAGTGACAAATCACTGTGTAAAAACTGTGCCACATGAACACAGATGTGCCGGGAGCTAAAAATAATGCTCACCATGTGCCTGTTCAGGGCGTTTAAACAGCCAGTATGATCTCTCATCTCTCAGCTTGCACATTATCCTAATTGTTCTCCATGCATGTGTTTCAAATGGCACTTGCGGGCATGAAATTTCAGAACTACACTGCATCACTGTGGGTGCACCACTGACTGTGTAAATTTCATGGTGCACACTATGGCTATGAATCATAAATGCCACTAGTACTGCTATTGCTAGGGTTTCTTGCCAATCACTGACTTGCACTGTGCAAATGCGTCATGGCTTCATTAAATGCAGAATGCAAGATAATTTTTCTTGTTTAAATCAATAATTTGTGTGCTAAGAGCTGTGAAAGGGGAGTAGGTTGCATTCGTTGTGAGTGCTCGAAGACTCCTGACCTGCTCTTCATGAAACTTCCACGTAACCCAGTTTGAGAATGTCAGTTTTGTGTGAAACTTTGTTGAGAGCAACAGTAAAATTGAACCTTCTTCAGGAGGATGTTGTCATACCACGAGTAAATATATAGCCATGTAATTTTACTGAAGCATTCCACACATATTTTTCAAACTTGCAATGCAGTTCAAATAAGAAGCACTTCTAAAAGTAAAGATTCATGTTGATTCATACAGTTAAACCTGCCTATAATGAGTTTTTCTGTTCCCCCTCATTACTTCATGAAAACACATGTATTTGCGACCTTCATGTAACAAAGTAACAGCGGGAGGCATCCTTGATATTACAAATTTTTGCACGGACAATAAAGAAATTTTTCCCCGTATTTTCTCATTTTGGCACAAGAATGCATCTTCCGCAATTGCCCCACTGCCAACGAAGCGCAAAGTGGCAACCGCGAGCACGATGCGCTCGTGGTCGCGAGGACTCCCGTGCGAAAGCGAGCGCTCCTTACTTCACGCTGGTGTGCGTGAGGCGGGCAGGTGGGTCTGCACCCCACGAGTCGGCATTTTCCCCGTTTTTGCCATTGCGGGTGCATGTGCTCTCCCCCTCTTTCCTAACCAAAAACAAAGAAAAAGACTACTTGTGTGTTGGCTGTGCCATGCATTTAGATAACAGCACATATGTAATGGCGCTGCATATGGAGGGTGCTTTACCAAATAGTTTTCCGCGGTATCCGTTGTTCACTCTTCGTTTTCGGCTCTGTGCACACGTGCATGGTGTGGCCCTCTATGACATTCAGTTTTTTTTCCTTTTAACGCATACAATCGTCTCATCACTACCGAGGGAATCTGAGATTAGGCGCTGCTGGAATCTCTCTGAGACCACGGTGACGACTGTACTTCGGCGGTCGACCCGTCACACTTCTTACGCTGCGCCATAAATTCACAGGACCGTAGCTTTCGCGATTAGCCGATTAGCTCCACCAGCTACAGCGCATTGAAAGCAATGCAATCAATGTGATAGCAACAAATGGTAGTGGTACACGAAGTAAGGTTGGCAGCCAACTCTTCTGGATTCGATGTTGCGGAACTCCTACAAAACACTGGTGTAAGCAAATTTGGCCTTTCCAGGGAGAAGTGCTCTTTTCACAATCTCTTCGCTTTGAAAGCGCACTGATACTTACCCAGATAGCACGTGTGACAGTGATTGCGACTGTACCCGTAAAATTAAAGTTCATCGTTGCTACTCGAGCGACCCTCCTCCCCCCACCCCTCATGTTTTTTCTTGCTCGTTCAAGGTGGATGATTTCTTTTCAGCTTTAGCATTCAACGGCAGTTTTAACATGCGGGCGATGTTCTCGTATGCGCCCTGCAGTCGATTGAGATGGGCCGGCTCGTTTGATTGTTGCTTCAGCAGCGCTCTCGAACTTTTATCTGCTCCTGATTGATTGATTGATTGATATGTGGGGTTTAACGTCCCAAAACCACCATATGATTATGAGAGACGCCGTAGTGGAGGGCCCCGAAAATTTCCACCACCTGGGGTTCTTTAACGTGCACCCAAATCTGAGCACATGGGCCGACAAGATTTCCGCCTCCATCGGAAATTTTTATCTGCTCCTAAAGGTTACGATGCGCAGGGGCTTGTTATAAATTTGGACTTGTTACGGAACATGGTGACGATGGCGAAAACCCGCCTAGAGTGTGCATATAATTTCTATTGCATTAATAATGCAGTTTTTACCGCAAATTAAGTGTTTGGGTTAGCTATGCCTTCAGTTCCCCAGTTGTTTAATTTGTACTTTTATTTTTTTGTATTTTTGCACCGAACCTGCGTATAACGAAACCCTCTTTTATAACGAATTTTTCTAAGAAATCGTCAATTTCGTTATATTTAGGTTTCACTAGCTTCAGTGCTTTTATTATAGATTCACTATTTCGACATGAATTAACAGTTGTGCACACAAAGCCTGAAGGGCCTATAACAACAAGTGTGTGAATATGTGAAATTTTGAACATTTTTAATAGTATTCTCTATTTGATTTAACTCACACTGGAATTTTACTTTTCGAACTTCCCAAAGACAAAAATTGGCAGATCTCGCGTACAGCGAGAATCGATGATATGAGATGCATGAATGAGAAATGTTGATATGTCACTTAAAATCAGCACAATGTTACGAGGTGGAAGTAAATGATGCCGTACATGACTTGTGTGTCATGATTATCATGTTTGGATGTGTCGTTTACCTTCGTCATCTATTCACTTCATGTGATACCAAATTTGGTAGACGTGGAGCTAGCGATACGACCGTGAGCAGGCTATAAGCGTGGTATGTTGTCATGTTCTTACATGACACGCGTGTAAGGATTATCATGTTTGCACCAGTCATATATCTTGTCATCTATTGACATCACGTAACACCAAATTTGGTATATGTGGAGCTAGAAAAACAGCCGCGAGCGCATCATGAAGAGCCTAATATACTCCAATGGAGCATTGACGCGCGCCCACACTGGGCACAGCTATTCTACTTTAGCAAAACGCGAGCACTCTATAGTCTGACGCCAGGCGCGACCAGCGTCCATCGGCGCGGCCTGACGGCAACCAGCGTGAAATGTGACATGCTGCATATCGCATCGATGCGATACTCGGACAACACTGCGTCTCCCTCTGTTCTTGACGGAGGGACGCCGGACGCGCTAAACGCCGGACGCGCTAAACGCCGGACGCGCTGAATCGCGCATGCGTCAAAGCAACGCAGCGCGGCGCACGCCTTCGAGTATATGGCAGGACCGGCGCATGGCGTGGAAACGCCAGTGTAACGCGACGACATGAATGCCGGCGAGCAAGCGCACAGTGTCACGTCGAAATGTATTGGCGCTTTTACTGTGGGTTGTAGTCATGTTCTCACATGACACGAATCTCGTCTTTATCATGTTTGCACCAGTATCATACCTTCGTCATTCATTCACGTCCCGTAAAACCAAATTTGGTATAAGTGAAGCTAGTGAAATTGCCGGGAGCACATCATGAGCGTCGCATGTAGTCATGTTGTTACATGACACGCATCTTATGATTATCATGTTTGCACCAGTCACGTACCTTCATCATCCATTCATGTACTGTATTACCAAACTTGGTATATGAAACGCTAGCGAAACGGCTGCAAGCGCATCATGAGCGTGGCATGTAGTGGCGTTGTTACATGCACGCATCTCATGATTTTCATGTTAGGGTCTATCGCTTGTGTTCGCCATGCAATCATGCCATACCATACCACTTTTGCAACATGCCATGTGAACGAAACCACCACAAGAGGATCAGGACCATGAAATGTAAATCATGACATTCATGACATACATGTCATGATTTTCATGTTATAACTAGTTAAATATGTTCTTCATACAGTCAAGTTATGCCATACCAAGTTCGGTATTGATATCATTATCGAAACGGCCAGGAGCGCTAAAAGTAATAGGCAGCTAGATAGATAGATACGCTCAAAGTCGCCGAGGTTCACTAAGAAATGCTTCGCATTTAATACAGCCAACATCCAAATGACTATGACTGTTTCAGATATTTATACTTCACCCCCATCACATTTTCGTTTTGCAAAAAAGCTGCCTTTCAGGTTCTGCTATGGTTGCAAATGTATTGACTCAAGAAAATGCTGCTTCCAGCATGCTTATAGATGGGGCAGAAGCGGGACTCAATTAACACTGTTTTACACCTGAAATTGTGGCAGGAAGTATGAAAAGTTGGATGCCAAAGATTTGTAGCATCCGAACTTTTGTGTTTTTATATAATGATATCTACAAGGCAGATTTGGAACTCTGGACTCGAAGGAAGCTCACTTTTGTCTGACACATCAGTTCGGCTTCCAAAAAGTTGAAGGAAGAGGAAAGGCTAAGGAAATAGCATTTTTGCCTTTAATGTGTAAGGTGTTGTCTGCAACAGTTTAGCTGCACCACATCGTGTGCACTGTCAATTTTTATGAAAGGGAGCATACGAGTGCTGGCCTTTTGTGCATAATTGCCTTGAAGAAGGAGGCGGTTGCAGTCTTGCTGCCAGTTTCATGTCACTAATGACTGGTTGTTTTGCTTGCTGCTAGATGACTTCAAAAGAGCCTGTGGTTGCTCTAGCTCCCGCTGGGATGGCTTGCAAGTAGCTGCCGGTGTGTGCACGCCACATGCTCTCGTGTCCCCTTTTATAATAATTGACAATGTACATAAATACAATTTGACCTCTGCATTGCCTCATTCTTGATAAGATAAATTTGAAGTGCTTCATCAACCAAGCCAAAAGAAACACATTCATGTTGCTATTTCATAAGAATATGCTTAGGAATCCTCTATAACCTTTTTTCCCCTGCTATTTCACTTTCGAAGTATTGAAAAAATATTCTGGAAGTGTTTGAAAAATGTTCTATTCAATTCACAGTCTCACTTCAATATTTGAATTTGCTTTGTGCCCAAAATTTTGCTATTTGCACAGCTCTAGTTATAATAATATTTGTGATACATAAAATGAACATGTACTTGTGTTTTTGAATGAGAAATTTAGTGTAGGAATCCTGATAGTAAGCCCTAGGCTACCACATTATTTCATTAAGAAAACTTCCATCTCTGTCCTTCCATCCTGGTCCTACCTGCTTTATGAAGTTCCATATCTAATGTTTCTAGTATGTGCTTACAGGTACCACTATTTTATTGATTCAATTTTCTATCAACAGTGCCTCACCTATTGCCTTTTACTTCCTATACAGGATATTACTGGTGACAGTTATCATGAGAAGCTTTTGGCAACAGTTGTCCTGAGCTACGGCCATGTTTCTATGCGAGCTCCAGCATCAATCTTGACTACCAGGATTGAAACACCCATTCTGAGAAGTGCTGCGAAATTCTACCAGGCATCAAAGGTATGATCGAAAAGTGTTCTGGAACTGATTACTTTTGTTAATTTTATTAGTGCAGCTTGGTAGCTTAGAGATTTGAAGCTGAAGCAGTTGTTCAGGCTGATTAGTTTTTGTTTATTCTTGGCACTTAGTGTGATAAAAGCATCAGTAAACTTTCTACCTTTCATATGCTCTGTCACTTGCCATTTGCTATAAAAACTTTTACTGGTACTTCATGCCAAATTTTCTGCGTTATAGATCTCATCTTAAGTCTCATCTCCCAGTATTCACATGTTATGAAGAAACCGTTGTTATATAACTTGCACTGGCATAATGTGGCCCACCTATTTCAATCATTCAGCATCTTCGGTTGTGCCCTCTTATTTACTCTCAAAAACTTCAGCTACTGCAGGCAGGGCAGCATTGTTGGGTAACAATTGTCACCATCTGAATAACACTATCATGGCCTGTGTTGTATGGTATGCTCAGGAATGATTAATAGCCAATAAATTATCTGTAATGGACTAGAATACAGGAGAATCTTTGTAATATAAATAATGGAGGGTTCACGAGAAATAATTGTACCAGCCAAGATTTGTTTTGCTGTAAAACACGGAAAAGCTAGTACATCAAATTAATATGCTACTAGTATTATTAGTAATGAGAACTAACAGATAGTAGTGTAGAGGAACGTATGGGGGATGTAATTTGTAGTGAGTACTAGGCTTGCGTGGATATTCGAATGCTTCGAATATTTGATCAAATATTACAGTATTTGAATTCGCTTAGACTCCAAGTATTCGTAATGAACAAATAGATAGTTACTAATCTACATGTAACATTTTGTAAAGGTGGTTTCACTGCAGTAAAGGTTTGCAAAGATGCGCAAGCATCTTTGCAGGGGAAATCTGCACTGCACCGAAGCCTTTCTTGAAAGTTAAATGAACACCACACTCTCACATTGATTCGTCATTTTTAAAGTTGAAGAGCTTGGTATACCGCTTTATATGCCCTAAGTGTAGTAAATTTGAAAATGAATGTAATTTGCTGGTTATTGTTTGCATTCTACAGGAAATCAAATCCTGCTACTATTCAAAGTTGTTTAATCTTTCTTTGAACCAAAAAACGGAATTTGCACAGGCCTTGTCTCAATTTTTTAAAAATACTGTGCAGGTTTGTTAGGTCATAATAAGTATGCCCATTTTTTTTATAATATGCAATATTACTATTCGAATTCCAATCAGAATTATTCGACCAAAATCACTATTCGCTTCGAATTCACTCCGGACATACAATTTACTATTCGCACAAGCCTAGTGAGTGTGATATAAACGTGAAGACAGTAAAGTGAGCGAAAAGATAACTTGCTGCCGACAGGAACTGAACCTGTAACCTTAGCATATAAAGTAAAACCTCATTATTTCGAAGTCATTAGTACCGTGAGAAATCTTCGAATTAAGTGGGTTTCTGAATTAACAGACCATACAAAAAGTGGGATGCAAGAAACTTGAAATCATTCAAAGTAATCAGGACTGGTCGTTTGCTGTGCCGGCTAGTTTCCGGCTCCTAGGGTTATGTTTTCTAGCAATGTCAGGTCAGGATTTCGCCGCAAATAAGGGGCAATGCCAAGTCTTGCTGCTGTCATCGAAAAAAAAAAAAGAAAAAAATTGTCATGATCAGTTGAAATGCACGCTTGCAAAAAAACAAGGCACCTTCACTGCAACACAGTAGAGACACGCGGGCAGCGTATTGCTTGCTTCTCGCTGCGTCATTACATCATTATGCGACCATTTGCCTATTCTAGTAAAATAAACAATTTAATAATGAACAGTGTGACAAAATTCGTGGTGTGTTTCGGCTTGGGAACATCATTGAATCGTTCTAATCGAGTTTTCGAAGCAGGTCTTGCAGGCAAGAACTCCGCAAGCAGTGCAAGTGCGAAAAATGCTGGAGCAACTAGTTCGAATACATCGTAAATTCCGCCAGAGTGTTCTTTATTATCTTCTTTATGTTCCCAGGAAGAATGGGTAAATCACACTGTGCCGACGTTGCGAGAAACATGCGACATGCTATCTGCGTGTCACTGCTGTGTTGCAGTGAAGCATGTCTTGTTTTTCGCAGGTGCACACTTCAGTTGATAATGCAACCGGCTTTTTTTTTACGATTTTATTTTCTGAGCTGGAAGTATCAATGTCAGCGTGCTTCAGCTGCCACTCATTAGTATCGCTATAGTACATTGCCTAGTGGCTTTGAAAAGCTGTCGTTCTCGTGGTTTTTTGGCAAAATCGGGATCAGGAATTAGCGCATCTGTACCTAAAGTTTTCTAATTAACCGGACGGGTGCTAATCGCCACTTCGTATTATCCGCTGAAAATTGCATTCCAAAATACGGTACTGAGAAAATACTTCGAATTAAGTGGGATTTCAAAATAACCGAGTTCGAATTAATGAGGTCTTGCTGTATCTTCAAAATATTATTGTGGTGCCTGAAACAGCATCATTTTATGTATACAGGCACATTATGTTGAACACAAGCCAGAAACACTGTGACTTCTTATGTAGTAATTGGTTGATGATAGCCAGGTGCTGATAACCGAATGGTCACCTAAGAATGCATGCTTTTATACCTATGCGTATTAGCTGACCAATTGTGTGGTCAGTAACTGTCAATAGTGGCCATGTATGCTGTAGAAATGTGACTTTTTTCGTTTCGGTTAACAGCGTAAGTTAGTCAAAATGGGCTATCCTATTTTTATGTATTATTTATCGTGAACAAACTATGCATTCCATGCTTATGCATTTATTCATGGCATATTTGCACAAAACTTAACTGTACTGTACCTGTTTCAAATCTTTGGGACTTCGTGCGGACTTGTGCAGTTTAGCGCCTTGCGATGCAAAATATTGGTTGCTCATTGCAGGACCCCTCTGTGCGGCATGCAATGCTCCGCACCGTGAAGATGATTGCAGATGCAGTTCACCCTGACAAACTTCAGGAGCAGTATGTCTTCTACTCAAGAGGCGAGCTGGTAAATGAGATGCAACAGATGCTAAAGGCTGAGAATCCAGTTCTTGTCACATCTACAACAAGGTCCCTAGTTCTCATGGCTCTGGCTAGCCTTGTGTATCCTCTGGCTTATATTCAATTCATGGAAATTACCACTGCTATCAGAAGAGCAAACTTAGTGTCACATTGAATGAGTGTACTTCATCCCTTATGTCATTCACAGGCTGTCACATGGAATGGTAGGATACATGTCACAGAACACACCTAGCTATGAGTGCAATTTCCCAACTCTATTTGCTGCACCAGTGTGTACAGCCTCAACGGTAGTGCTTTAGATACAGCAGAAACTCATTAATTCATATTGCAAGGGCATTGGAAAGTCGTTCAAATAATATTCACTTCGATCTGAAAAGAACTCCTTTGAATGCAACATTGAATAGCCTGGGCAGCGTGGCTAGATGTGTACTGCTTTCAACGTCTTTGCAGCTGCGGAAATTATTATTTTTTATTTTTTGCCCTTGCTCCTAATTCATGTATAGCCATAAACTATTTGCCATTGTGCCCTAATCAACTGATTCTATGATATATTACTCATTGTGTCTTATGTGACTTCTTTCGAAAAACGGAAGTTACAGTTTAAGTCACAATTCAAAGTCAGCAAAGCAGTAGACCAAATACTCTTCGAAATCACGAGTACTTCACATAAAAAATAACACGTGCATGCGTGGTCACCACATGCACATGTATGGCAGATTTTGTAAAAAGAAGTTAGAATGTTGTATTGTAGTAGCAGTGCAACAACTGTAGGAAGAGACAAAATGGACAGGAAGGAGCGCTGACTGTGAACTGAACTTATTGAAGGGGCTACGACCGCTTTTACGCAGAGTGAAAAAAACTGTGCTCGTGCGCAACAACACATGTGTGACCATGAAAAAGATATTCTTAACTGAGGAATGAATACTCTCTCTTGAACAAGAGAAGTGATGGTGTACTGATGCTTTGATCCTTGGGCTTCCAGATAAAAAATGCTTCTATAATCTTTCTTTCATTCTTTGTTTTTGTTTTTTTCTAAAACCGTGTTTTATGGAACGTAAGACTGCACTTAAATTCTTTGTAGTGTACAGCCATAGGACTACCATACCATTTTTATCATTTAAAGCATGCTGTCTTGCTCATTCATTGCACTGCCATGGTGGTATAGTGGCTAAGGTACTCGGCTGCTAACCCGCAGGTCACGGGATCGAATCCCAGCGGCGGCGGCTACATTTCCGATGGGGGCAGAAATGTTGTACGGCCGTGTGCTCAGATTTGGGTGCACGTTAAAGAACCCCATGTGGTCGAAATTTCCGGAGCCCTTCACTACGGCGTCTCTTATAATAATTTGGTGGTTTTGGGACGTTAAACTCCACATATCAATCAATTGCTCAGTCATTGAAGCATTGCCCAGTTTGTCCTATGTTTATTTTTCCACCTGTCAGCGGTATCTCGTACACAACATTAGATTGGCATTCAGTAAACCTATTATCATGACAAATGTTGCATGATTGGCTACTCCTGCATGCCAATGTAATGCTGTGTATGAGATACCGCTTACATGTGGAAAAATAAACATAGGACAAACTGAGCAATGTTTCAATGACTGAGCAAGACAGCATGCTTTAAATGTTAAAAATGGCTATGGTTGTCTCATGGCTGTACACTATACACTTTCAGAGAGCCAAATATTTTTCCTTTGGTTCAACTGGCTTTCTCATATATTCATAAGGTTTTGCATGGCATATTTCTTGACTTGCATTTTCACCAGCAAATTGGACCCACCTTTGCCACCAAGTGAAATATCAGCTCTTGTGACAATGGCTGTTTCACGAGTGTACCCATTGCCATTGCGAAACCCTCCCATTGCATTTGATGATGCAGCAAGTGGTGATCAAGCACAAAATCATTCAGAGTTGGTGGCAGGCAGTCTTAGTGCACTGGACCAATTCCTTGCAGAATTATTGTCCAAAGACCGCACTCCTGATAATCTTCAGCTAATCATCAGGGTGAGTAATGTACTGATTTTATCAGCAGCGTGAGACATATATGTGAGGTACACTGTCAATTTTTATGAAAGGGAACACTGTAGCATGTAGCCTGCGCGGTCCGGCGGCTGGTGGCAGCGCGCTCAAGAGTAACTAGAGTAACCACAGTAAACTACTGTCTCTTTTCGAGTTATCTTGCAGCGAGCTAAACAGTCGGTCATCAGTGATAAAGAACCTGCGGCGAGACTGTTGGGGAGGGAGTTAGTCTCCCATTGATTCTTTATCACCAATGTCTGATTGTTTTGCTTGCCCCGAGATGACATGGAAAGAGACTGTGGTTGCTCTCGCTCTCACTTGAAGGTGCTGCCAGTAGCTGCTGGAGCGCGCAAGCTACATGCTCCAGTGATCCCTTTCATAAAAATTGACAGTATGCAGGGTTTGACTTGTCTTGATACTGATATTCACATGTTCAGTGCTTTAAAATGTGTATTCAACTCCAGGTACCCTAATGCTGTGGTTCTCTCTCTCTGTTTATTTAGAACCTCTTGTAACAAACCGTGGCATTCAAAATTCTTGTTTTAATTTCTAAAGCAGATGTTGCTCTTAAGGTCACATAGTGAAAAACGGCTATGGTAATTGAAGCGCTGTGAATCGGTATGAGCATCTTGGTGAGTTGAATAACTCGTACTTATTCAACAGCAGAATGAACTTACACAGGTAGCCATTCATAAATGGAACACTTTCTTGCATGAGGAGAAAGCAGCCAGTTGTAACGCTCATTTTCAGTTCTGTGTTTAGTTTCGGTTTATATATGTAAAAATGTACACTGATTTACAAAACTTTTTTTTCTAAAGCTTCATGAAAAGAGCAATGGCAGTAGCTACTAGTCAGTGCTAACCCAATATATTTTTATAGCTTGTGATTATAGTGTGCAAAATGTGGAGTGAAACTAACTTTAGCAAGTTTTCCTGAAAGAATGCACAAGTCGGAAGCACAAAATACTTGAAAACAGAGGGGAATATTTATGACTTGTGATGTGTACATTATGTGTTATTTCAAAGTTATTTTTTGGGTGGAGGACGATTGCCACTTGAATTGTATATCAAAGATGTTAGCTGAGAGGGGACACTGTTGAGCTGTGTAGTGTTTTCTATGTTTATGAGAACACTGAGAAAAAAAAAGAACATGACAGTTGACCTGTTTGCCGTAAAGGAGTTGTTTTTCCATTGAAGGATGCCTTGGATCAAGTGAATTTAAGAAATTACCATCTGTTCAGTTCATAAAAAAAAACTTTATCATAGCTCACTAAATTAGTTTTCTCTTACTATGTATGGACAAGGATTAATGTTCCATAAAGGTTTAAAGGGGCCCTGCAACACTTTTTGAGCATGGTCGGAAAACGCTGCCAATCGGTAGTAGAGGCTTCCGAGAACACGCGAGCCAAGTATTATAGCGCAGCACGTGACTTGGAATTCGCAATAAATTATCAAAGTCAGCTAAAAATTGCTTTCTCTTCCCTTTACAAACAACGAAAGATGCTAAAAATCACACGTAGATTGCCCATCTATCAGCCATTGGCTGATTTGAACATGGCGCGCTCTGCTGTTACAGAGATCACTGCAAAAGGCCGTCACTTGTCCACGTGTGCGCGCGCAATTGCACTGAAAAAGCTGCGTATTCGATTAAAGAAAAAAGAAAAAAAGTGCTCAAGGTCATGAGGTGCGCATGGCATTTTTGTTTGCCCCTCATCCCGCCCTGCTTAGCTTCCAGCGCTTTTGTTGGGACGAGAGAAGAGAGAATGCGATTGCAGCGTGTGACAAATCTTTAACTCCGCTCGTACTGGACGGATTCTTAAAATATTTGCGGCGTTGAATTTGTGAGGCAATACGCTTTTCCAGTGAATTAATTCCATGGTTACACAGAAAAGTGTTTCAGGGCCTCTTTAATGTTTCAACACATATTTTACTTTTGTTTTTTCTCGGTAGCACTTGAATTTTTTTTTTCTAAAAGAGAGTGCATACTTGTGCGAAGCAAACTTGTTATGGCTCTTAGATGATGATGTCTCTTTTTTGAAATAATTATGGGCTGGTTATTTTGGTAACCCACTCTTGAAGGTATAGCATGAAACTGCAAGAAAGAAGGTACAAAGAGACAAGCACCACAATAGTAGTTTAAAACTTGTCCATTGAATCTTTTGTCGCCCTTTTAGTTTCATGCTCTGTTTTCGTCCATTAGTGTGTTGGTGTTGTAACTACTGAATCACTTGCACTTTTAATCAGTGTGAATGCATTTTGTTGTTGTCAGCTTTCGTGTTTGTGGTCATCGGGTTAATGCACTGTTTCAAGACTGATGTTGTGAACTGCAAACTGTAATGCAAAATTTTAGGACAGGTGTAATGAGCTGCAAGTTGTATTTCCACAGGTGCTGGTTCCTTGGCTCAATTCTAAGCAGGAATATGAGAGAGAGCGCTGTTTGAACTCGATCTGGGAGCTTATGATGCTTTACAGCAGTCACATTGAATCTGGGGTAAGTTGTGTACGATGGTCAGCTGAAAGTACCGATATCTTATGAAGTAGTTTCTTATGTGAGGAAAAAGTAGGCAAAATTTTGATGACATGACTTTGAGGGATTCTAAGTGAAACAATGAATTTTTTTAGATTGATAAGTTGTGCTCTTGAAGATGTCAATTTCAATGTCATAGGTTTATTGATAGAGAAGGAAATCAAGGTTAAATTTGTATTCTTAAATTTCACACCAAAATCACCGTAGCTGACGTCACAGATTTCAAAGTGCATTTTTAATATTTTGACGACATTGGCAGAACAAAATTTTCTGAAACTTAGTATTTCAAGTCTATGGCCCCCTCAGAGCACAGTGTATTCAATTTTAATTGATTAAAAACTACGCACAATCTATGAGATACCATCAAAATCCAGGACATCATGAAGTTTGGTGCAGGAATTTCAAGGGAGTACAGTCACCTGAATTTCATTTTTACCCACTTTTTTGCTTACTAAGCATCCCCATGGATTTTGGTATTTTGAAAGATTACTTTACTAATACGAGAAAAATATTTTTTTCTCTCTTTAGCGTCCCTTTAAAACATCTTCGTTTCGAGTGCACCCATGATTACCAAATTAGTTCAAAAGAACAGACTTTTGGGCCAGTTGGTACGCATATTGGGTGCTTGCGCTATTTTCTCGCCATGGCCTCCAGTGGCCATGACATCAGAGGAGTAGCCATGCGAAAGAATGAGATAGCCAATTTATTGTCTATATATACCTAGCCTTAATATGTATCTTTCCCATGAATCTCTTGGTTTATGTTTAGGGCTTGAACTCAAGCCTGGCTTTATGCCACACACAAAGCATGCGTTTCCTTAGCAACTGTATTTTTTGAGTGAGATGAAAGTTGATAAATGCTTTAGAATTTCGCAAACTAGATTTTGGGTGGTGAGGAGGGGGATTCATTACCTTCATTACCTTAGAAAGCATCTCTACACAACTTAAAAATTATAGTGTCATATGGTAATATTCTCAAGCATGGTGCTTAAGATGTCTGGTTTAGATAATGTTGAATGTTCCACGAGAGTGCAGTTTTATCTCGTGTAAATTTAAAACTGAAGAGCTTGAATTCTAGAGCAACTTAGAATGACGCATTTCACTTGCTTTACTTATAATGAGTAAATTATGCATTTATTGATATTAATGAAGTATTATTTTTGCCTAGGTGTTTCGGATGTTCAATTGTTTTGGCTTTGTCCTTGGTACTCTTGTGCCCCGCTGCACGGACTCCAGCATTTCCATTCGCAACACCGCTCTGACCTGTATTCATCTGTCTCTCGAGATAAACAACAAGAGCCAAAGTATGTTGATTTCAGATGTATTCTTAGAAGGCATATTCCACTGATTTAATTTTAACACCGATTGTCATAATTACATGTTGATAAGCCCACCTGTGCCTATGATATCTTATTGGATCCTGTTGGAGTAGTGCATGAGTGTATAGTGTTTGCTATGCTCCTGAATTAATGCAGCTTTTTAAATCTGCAACCCCATCTACAAAGATTTTCAGAGCGCAGAATTTATGAAGAAAAAAGATCTTGGGAACACTGCTTTGCATTTGTAAAATTCAAGGGGAATGCTGAAGCATGAAGAATATTCCACATCACTGTGACTTTTAGACTCTGAAAGCTTTTCTTTATTGTACAATGATGAATTCACTCTGCATTCACTTTTATCTGGATTAGGCTTGTGTAAATATTCTAACACATATTACAATATTCTAAGTTGCTTCGATTCGAATTTAAATTTTTGGAAATTGCAAGATGTTCGAAATGAACGATAAGTGTACGTTAATCCACATGTAACCCTTGGTAAAGGTAGTTTGACGGTAGTGCAGTGGTGCAAAACCGTGAAAACATTTGTGTAAAGAAAATCTGTAATGCCGTAAAGCGTCACTTCAAAGTTAAATGAACAGAATACCCTCACATGTAATAATTTTAAAAGCTTGTTATACTGGCTTACTTGCCATAAGTATAGTAAATTTTAAGACTTAACAGAATTTACAGGTACTTGCATTCCACCAAAAGTCAAATACAACTACTGTAATAATGAACTTAGCTTGTATTAGCACGGTACATATAAGAAGGAAACACGGCACAGACGTAGAGAAAGGTAGGTGCTAAACTTTCAACTTGGAAAGATTAGAAGTTTAGTGCCTGCCTTTTTTTTGCATTTGTGTTGTGTTTCCTTCTTATATGTACTACACTAATACAAGCTAAGTTCATGGGTGACCAACTTGCCCAAGGTACAACACTTCTGGGCTACTATTCAAAGTGGTATAAAAGTCCTTTGAACCAAAAAGAATGGCATTTGCACAAGCCTTGTTTCAATTTTTCATAAGTATTGTGCAAGTTAGGGTCATGATAAATATGCCCTTTTTTTCTTTATGATATGTGATATACTATACAAATTCAGTTTTAAAAAATTTAACCAAATCACCATTCACTTCAAACTTGAAACTTAATATTTGCAGAAGCCTACTCATGATGCCTAGTTCAGTAGTTCAGAAAATAATAAAATTATAACAGGATGTAAAGTTTAATGCTAGCTACTGGGGATTCATCATAAAAGAAATTATAGCATGCAGATATGAATACAAGAAGAAATAAACATGGCATTAATGTTGTCTGTTTCTCTTTTGTCCATATTTGCATGCCTAACTTTCTTTTATGATAAAAGCCTAAACAGTTTGGTGTGTTCAAAACTAACTTTTTGTTTGTTTGCAAATGACAATATAAAAACAAATATAAAATTTATGATCTTGTTGCTATGTTTGCTTTCCTTTTCTGTTGCCTCTTTCATCACACTTGTAGGCCTTTCATCTAAGGAGGATACGGATTTTCATGGTGTTGATGATCTTCAGTCAAACATTCAGAAGTCAGACCCTGAAACCTTTCACATGATTTCAAAAGAATTGGCAAAGGTAAGCTTAGTTTATGAAGCTTCAAGGATTCATACTTGATCTGGGTTGCTGTACTATTATATCTGGCTTTATGCCATTCATACAAATTATATAGCACATCAAGGACCCCAGAAAAACAAACTGTACATTCATGGCACTGTTCAACGTTGGTTGCATCATTCATCATTGTGCATATAGCATATATATCTTTTTGCAACCTTGTCCATCATTCACTGCATATCTGTGCCAAGGGCTCATAATATGAATAAAAAGTTTAGTGAGAATAATTCCCTTGCAGTATAAAACTGAAGTGTTGTAAACACTGCCACGGTGCTGAATTATATTGTGTATTGTAGGGGAAATAATAAACACTATGGCAGAGATTCAGATACTTTATTTACACGATTGTCAGCAGTCGCAAATGTAGGTTGACCTCTCTTAATCACATAGCAAAAAAAAAGAGCGTGAGCACATTCATTAAAAAGTATTTTTAATGTCTTTGAAAAAAAACAATCAAAAAAAATTAATTCTGGTGAGCCAAGGTGGCTTCGGGGCAATGCTTGAGAGCTGTGTGGGAATACGCGTGAATTTATTTAAGACTTTACAACCGAAATTAGCTTTCAATTATAGGTCGACTCCCCCCCCCCCCCCCCAACTTCTGATTTCAAATTAAGACAAGAAGGGTTGACCTATAATCGTGTATATACGGTAGTTTTCTTTTTTTACATGTGGTTATGAAGGTGTGTGGTTATGTGTAATTAAAATAAATATATGGAACAATAAAATCTGATTACTTTTTAATTTATGTAGTAAAAGATGTATGTTATAATTAAAAATATAATAAAGCCAGCCAGTACACGAAGCACTGACCAGTATCTCTGCTGTGCTTGCTATACAAGTAGGCAGCCAGTATAGTATAGAGCTTAAGTTTAATTTCTTACCCGCAGTGTTCTGTGGAGCACTGCTACCACCTACCATGTTGGTCACAAAGCATGCGTACCTGTGTAATGCATCACTCCTCATCCTTTTTCTAGAGCACAGCTCTTATTTGCTCACTCATTCCTGGGATGAGCATTGTCCCTCAGCTTTGTTGTAACCAATGAAATAAGTGCAGTGAATTATCTCCTGGCTTGGGCGCCTTGAGCTACGTGACACTTTTTTTTTTGCCTGGGTAACTGGAATTATCTCAAAACCCCGAAACAAGTGTGAGAGAAAGGGGAATAAGAATAATTTTATATAAATAAATAAAAATGATAAATAATAATAAAAAGAAAAGATAAATACAGAATAGAAAAATAAAACAAAAACAAAATGTTGTTGGTAACTGCAGGTGACACTGCGGAAGCAGAAAATAATAAAATAAAAATAGAAGAAATGACAGTAGTAGGGAATAAAAAAATTAAACAGAAACAATCTAAATATTAAAAATATTTAGAAAACAAAATTGAAAATCAAGGTACCTAGATGTCCCTGAAGTTATTTGCATAAATATATCCCAACTTGCTTTGAGATTTTCTCACATTTTGCTTCAAGGGTATTGTAATTGTTGGTGACATTTCTTTCTTTGGCTGTCAGCACTCCTCAACAGTGTGCAGCCTCTATATTAAAGCGACATTGAAGAGTAAAATGATTTTTCTTGTATTCGTTAATTACTCTTTCACGGCCAGGAAAGTATTTAGTTCTAAACTATGCCATCACTGTCCTTGGTACTAACTGCTTAAAAGCTTCATAGTCTTGTTCAAGTAGACACACGTACACACACATGTGCACACGCGTGATTCACCTGCCATTATGTTTACATCTTGGAGAAGTTTGTGAGGGAAATTATAAAATAGTGACTCGATATGCTACTGAAATAGACCTAAATCAACGATTTTTGCCAGCATGAAAAGTACCCATATTTTTAAATATGTAACCGTCCTCTTTCGTGACCTACTCGCTTGTAATAGCAGGGATGTTAAAACTTTTCAAAGTTCCGGGCAGTGTAAACAGGAATGAATTGGTATGTGCTTGTTTTATTTTCTGCTTCACTTCCACAACACATGCGCCGATTTGTCCAGCCATGGAATGCAACATGTATGATAGGGGTATATGTTATGTGACTAAAAATCACGTGATGTCACGGAACAACTGGTTGCAGGACTAAAAACTACATGGCACCACATAATAGCTATCTACGTCGCTAAAAATGACATAGCGTCATGCCGTGACTAAGAACCGTGTAATAGCTAGTCATGTCAATTTTTTCCACCATGACCACATAACGATTATCACATTTGGGGGTCCAACAGCTGCGCCAATTGTGCCAAATTGATACAATTCCACATTTTTGTGCTGAGCTGCACCAAAATCATGAAATATGCTGAAATTGCGCCATGCTGCACCAAAATGCCTGACCAGTCTCAATTTTTTCAGTTACGCTAATTTCAGCAAGAAATAGAGGCCACCAATCAATCCAGGGATCCAGACGTGCAGACCCTAACCCTAAACCACTGCTAAACCAGGATCTCGCGAAACATAATTGCTCAGACAAAGTATACAGCGCCGCGCGCCCTTCAGTCTACTGACTGTCGCGGATATCTATTGGCGGGACGATGCAACTTGACAAAAATGCATTGCCGTAGCCACCAACACCTCGAGAGTCAGCAAACGCTGTTGCGGCGTGTTACGAACTAAAGCTGGAAGTGTATGCCACTGTCGACGTGCTGTGAACGCTGGCTTTGCGGGCGACCACGTTGGTTGCCATAGCAACGGCACAAACGATAAGTATGCGGTGCCGTCACTGGGCCAATAAACACGTTCTGGTGTTACCTTATCTAGTCAAACGCACCTTGCAATTGAGTCCAGAAGTTGTGCTTTAAACCTAACTCCATCGTCAAAATAAAGGGGGGGAGGAGGAGTATAGTAGTTCGAAAACTTCTTGGCCTTGTAATGCGTGCAGAACGCCACTAAATCCACTTTCGCCGCAGTACACAAGTGGCCCGCGCAAAATCATTTTAAAGTATGGGAGGGGCTGTTAGCACTAGTCAAAAGACATAGCACAGTTTGTTCAATTACTCATGGGTGTATGTACCTCATAATTGTGAGTACTAGTATGATCGCTGACGTCTGAAAAAGTTACTGGCAATTATTGAGACACCTAATGATATTGCTGCAGCCCTCAAAGAAAACTGTGTGCCACCTTTTTTTTTGCCACCTCTACTCCTCAGTTTTATGAGTCTCCCAAATCTCAAGGTCGCCAGCTTGGTAAATCCACATTTCAATCTTCAGAGTCTGTCAAAGGATTTGACTGGCATGGCAAATACCAAGGGGCTCTGTATGATTGTTTGCTGAGGGTTTATACTCACTCTGCAGTATTTAGAGAATGTAGCATGGTTTGTGCATTTCTTTATTAAATACGTCTTTTTCATACTAGTCCAAATGTGGTCTTTTGTGATTTAAAAAATGAGTGTTTTTTCCCCGTGACCAGCTGCGAATTTGAATTTTTGTGCTCTAAAGGTAACATTTTGGTGCTCCAAAATTTGCTCCGAATTTTCCTTTGGCTGTTGCACCTCTGCACATCACTAAAGTCGCGTAACAGCGAGTCATAACATGTTCCTGTCGTAAACTACATAACTATCCTCCATACTCAAAATTATGTAACATTACACAATAGTCACATGATTTGTTCCAACCAATACCACATAACATCCAGTCTTGGGACATGTTTTCACCATAAACTGTGTAACAACTACTCACGCCTCACGATACTAAAATCATGTAACAGTAGTCACATGACATGTTCCCACCAAAAACACTTCACTGCTTACAAGACTGAAATCTTGTAACAGCTAGTTACGTGATATTTTCCCACCAAAAGCATGTAAATAATAGTCACGTGAGATATTTTTGCCAAAACCACTTAACTACTCACGTGACTAAAATATTGTAACAGCTAGTCACATGGCATGTTCCCACTATAAGCTACATAACAACTAGCCATGCGACTGAAAATCACACACCTTCATGTGGCAGATAGTCAGGTGACATTTCCCACAAAAACCACATACCAGCTATTCATGTGAGTAAAATAATTTAACATCACGTAATAACTGGTCACATGAATAAAATCACAACATAGCATAATAGCTAATTGCTTAAAAATGTTCCTGCCAAAACCATGTGACATGTGTGTAGTTTGGGGAACCGACCAAAACCGTTGAAGGATAGCCAAGCTTAACAATACTACTGAGTACTACTAGCAAAAATTTAGCATTTCTTGCAAAAGCTTGGTACGTATTATGAGCAAAGCCTTAAAAAAAGCTAGGTCAAACACTAGCTCTGCTGTTGGTTCCAGCCGTGTGTGCAATCTGCACCTTTTTTTTATTAGTATTAGTATTAAGACCTTACAACAAACTTACAATGTGGTGAACATATTTTACAATGGCAGTGTATTTGTATGTAGGCTTGACTCTATAAAAGTTTAATTTAAATTATGTCTAGTGCCATTTTTTGTCTGTGTTTTCTTTTCTTTAGGATGCTAACCTCTCACGATTGTTGCCTTTCATTAATTTTTTGCCAACTAAAACACCATCTCCATCCCTTTTCGGCCCACAAGGCAATGAAGAACAGTAGGCTCGTGCAAACGCCTTATACCAGTGGTGAAATCCTGCATATAACAGCTAATTCACTGCTCATTTTTTCTTCATTCCCCTCTTTTTATTCGCCTTGCCCAATTCGCCAGTAAAAAGCAGCCAACCTGATGCTTTTCTGGTTTGGTAACCTCCTTGTGTACCCTTGCTTTCTTTGAATGTTCAGCTGTGACTGATTTTAATTTCATGTGCTTTGTGCAGACACTGGCCAAGAAGGCACCATCTATTCAGCTCCTTTCATTAGCAGAGACACTGCTTCAAGGTCTCAAGGATCCAGTGCCTAGCAGCTCTTCTGGTGCAGCTCATGTGCTTTCTGGTCTGCTGCAGCTGCGTGGTGCTGAGCTGCGAGCTGAAGTATGTATTACCGCTTTCAACATATTGTTAAAATAAGAATGAGGATAGTATTAAATTTATCAAGTGCTGCATTAGATAATACTGGATTGGCTAACTTTTGAAAGATTGCACTTGATAGTTTACTCAGGGTGACTTTTCTTTTTCTCTCTTTCGTGTTTCATTTCTCTATGAGGCTGTTGACAGCATGTTAATGAATAATGAATATTCCTTGGCTTTATATGTACTTTTTCTTTCTGTTGTCCTGTCGATAAACATCACATAGTATTTAATATGTTTGACATTGCTGTTAACCATTTAACCTATATGCAGCTTTGGTGGAGAGCTGCAAACGTTATGGTACTAATGCAGTGATTGGTAAAATTGATTATTGAGTAATCATGGGCTTTATTTTATGTTTGACATCTTTAAAAATGCAAAGCACAAGTATTGCCTGATAATTCCCCATCTGCTTTATTTCAGTGTCATTCTGATGTCTCGAAAAATTACTTATGTCCCCTTGTAAATAACTAAAATGAATGTTTAAGTACAAAAGCTAGAATATTGGGTCATTTTGACTGGAATGCACTGCTGGTGTTTACATTATAAATGTTACAGATTGTACGAAAATACTTCATCATGCTTCATTGAGTTTAATAAAGCAAAGTGGCATCTAGAGGGATTAGTTCTTTCACGAAGTACAATTTTATATGTTGTGTGGCAGTGTGTACAGGAAATGGAAATCCCAGTTGTCGTGCCATCTGTCACAATTAAGGCTTTTCAGCGCAGAGTTAAGAAGAAACATGTAAACCCTGACAGTGACATTCCCTTTTGAGAACCGCATAAGGTTTACTCGAGCTGAGGGGCCTGCTTTGGTCTAGGGCCTGCTTTGAATAGGCGTGACCTATTGGATCTAAATAAAGTTCTTCCATCCACCTGTATGACAGACGGGGCTTGCAGATTGCAGAGAATATGATTGATCATGAGGTTTGGAAGTGGCCCCGCCGCGGTGGTCTAGTGGCTAAGGTACTCGGCTGCTGACCCGCAGGTCGCGGGTTCGAATCCCGGCTGCGGCGGCTGCATTTCCGATGGAGGCGGAAATGAAGGAGGCCCGTGTGCTCAGATTTGGGTGCACGTTAAAGAACCCCAGGTGGTCTAAATTTCCGGAGCCCTCCACTACGGCGTCTCTCATAATCAAATGGTGGTTTTGGGACGTTAAACCCCACATATCATCATCATCAGGTTTGGAAGTGATGAAATACCATAACAAAAGGACATACAAGGCTTGGTCTCGCAAAACAGTTATAGAGGCAATGCACCTTAGGGTCTCAGTGTGTCAGTGTACATTGTCATTTGCAGTTGTGGCGTGCATAGTCATCAGTTGTAGGGACAGTCAACTTGCCTAGGCGCAAGAGAGGGCACCACTGCCTCAGCGCTCGCCACATGGTGAGATGGAGCAAACGGCGCGCGTTGACACTAGAAACACTCTTTCTGCATTGAAGGCTGAATGAAACGCTCACAAGGAACGAGAATATGCCCTCACCCGTGAGACACAATGTCGACGCAGGCAGTGTCTGCTAAGGAGTTTTTTTTTATTTGACTGCTTGTGCTGCACAACTATTCACTTACCATTCCATATATAATAGGCATTGGATCTTGACGCGCAATGTAGTGCCCTTAAGAGATTTCTCTTCTGCATAGTTGAACAAGGAAGACTTGCAGTGTTCGTGTCTAGTAAAAGCGGACTGCAGGTCTCTGTGTCTAATCAGAGCCCCAGGTTATGTACATTTTAATAGAGTTGAAACAAAATCTGTCGTCTGTCTCTCATTGCCCATCAGCAGCAGTCAGCATGTTTCAGTAGAAAACACCGGTCCATTACTGCATGCTTTGCCCCTCCCCAGATTGCATGTTAGTGGAGCTGTCTTTTTTCTATCGCTTTAACATGTTCATGGTAATTAAAACGTTCATCTCAATGCGAAATTTGGCCAAATGTTTTTAAGAGCTGTTCACAGTCCCTATAGCTAACTGTTGAGCTGTTCACAGTCTATAACTGTTGCTGTCCTGCATTGTTCATTCCATTTGGACGGAGGCTCTACAACAAAGTGATGGTTTATGTACTGTAACTGGTTGGCAAGAGTGTCGCACTGGCTGTGTTAGAACTGGCTGGCTCCTTCCACGCAGAAAGCGTCTGCTCTCCTTGCTGCTGCAGTAGTATGAGGTGTGTTAGAAAAGTAATGGCACTGAGTTTGTACTAATCAAAGTCTTCAGTTTTTCCAAGCAACAATGTTAGCCTCTTCAAAGCAGTTCTCTTGGGTAGCCATACATCGGCAGAGTTGTTCCCACTCTTGGTAGCAGTGCTGAAAGTCTATAACTGTACGGTTTTTAACAGGTCGATAACAGCCTTTCGAATGTTGTCCAGAGTTCCAACATGACTTCTTTTTAGAGCACGTTTCAATTTCAGGAAAAGAAAAATGTCATAAGGTCTCAAATTAGGAGAATAAGGGGTTGTGAAACAACACTATTGTCTTTTTATCTAAAAAATTCACTAATGAAAAAAGCCGTGTGACACTGTGCATTGTCATGATGAAGCATCCACTTGTCTGCAATGTCTCCCTGAGCAAAATTTGAACAATTTCTAGGCCTTCAAAAAACTGACTTGTGCCAGCGAAAACTGGTGCTCTTGATAAACAATGTTCCCCATACGCTTGTGTCAACTTTTCAAATGTTATACTCACAGATTCACCAAGTTTAACACAACACTTAATAGTGCAATGCTGCTCTAAATTCCAATGCTACATTTCTGTAACATGCAACAAAAACACATTTTCAATATGGCACTGCCAAAAATACTGTGTTAGCTGTACAGGTTTGTAACTCTGACTGAGGATGTGGAAAGGATAAACAAACTGGTCTAGCACAGGCCACTAAACACATCATCACTAGATCGCTTGCAGTGTTGCCAGTCTCATTTCTTTTTAAACACACCCCGTAAGAATTTTGCAATTTTTGTGATCATCTTATTCCTAAATCAAATAATTTCAAAATCAAACAATTTCTAAATCAAACAAGCATCTTGCAATTTTTCATTACCTTTTCATCACGAAAATGTGTGTTGGTAGGTTGAGGAGCCTTTGCGCACATGGGCATACCGTAGCTTCTGCACTTGTGATGGTATACTGGCATTGATGAGAAGTGATAGGTTGTATTATTAGTGCTATTTTTGTAGTGATGGTGCCTTTCTACAGCAGGATTATTTGGAAATTTTCGTGTCTCACAGTAGTACTGTAGAACTTTGCGTACTCACTTCTAACTGGCATGTGTACAAAGGTATTATGAAATGTGCAATGAGGGATGCCACGGCTCATTGTAGGTCTGCTGTTCTATTGGTTTTTGTAAAAGCAGTGCCACTTCTCAATGTGGACTTGCTTGCCACATAATATGCACACAATAAAGCCCAAGTGCCTACATAATTTAATATCTGCACTTTTAAGTAACAAGTACGCTGGTACTAAAGAACAGCCAACTGCGTACAGTATTCCAAATGCCTCCATCGCAGAGTTGTAAGGTGTGTAGCTTAAATGGTACAATAGAGTTGTAGTTGTTTTCTGTGACAACTTACAATTATAATTCTTTCTTTATTTGGCTCCAGCATGATCAGTTTGTCACTATAATCCTTTGTCTTCTAGTGCACGTGCTGCGAGTGGTGTACACCATTTTCACCAACATCTTGTAGCTCATTTTGGGTAGTTGTCAGTATCTTTAAAGGCCCTCATGACATGTGTTTCATTGATTCTCTCAGGCATTCCTTCATATCTGTCTGACAGAAATCTGAGAAGCACCTCTGCAGGATTCAGATTTCAATGATAATCATCACATGCTGATGCAGATACCTTTATCAGTGTTGTGTGAGGAACATAGGTAAAAAAAAAATTGTAGAGCTCACTCAGACTCGCTCGTGAAATACATTTTGCACTTAGGACTCACTAGGACTCAGAATCACCAAACTTTTCCCAAGTTGGACTCACTCGGACTCATACTCGTGAAAATTTTCTTCGTGCAGTCTTATTCGGACTCAAACTCATCAACATAATATGCACCTGGACTCACTCACACTCACTCACGGCTCGATCTGAGTCGGAGCGAGGTGGAATGAGTTGACTCATAGGCTCGTAAGTCTAGAATTGGCTTTTTTGAACCCGGTGTCAGTGCTCCTTGACACCGATATCTCATGTAATTGATGCTCTTCTCAATGCCTTTTGATTAGTACCTTTGAATACGACTTTTATGTGGTATGAAATCAGCAAGGGCATTTTTCAATAAAGAGATGACAAAATCAGATATATTTATCAAGAACTTCTCCGAAAGGGTTGATAGGGGGGGGAGTACAAGTCCTAATTACGTGATTCGCGGCTCTGATCAACAAATATTAAAGTTCTGTATGACCGAATCTGCTTTCAAATACCTTGGAGTTGATGCGATTGTAAACATGAATCCAGGTAAGGTTCATAGTAATGCTGAAGATGAGTATATATAGGACCATAGGTCGGCAAACATAAGTGAAATTCACTCAGACACACCAAAATATTCCTGATCTAGACTAACTTGGATACTCACTAAAATTTTCTTCAGTCACACTTGCTCGTATTCAAACTCGAGGAAAGTATTACACGCCCGTACTCACTCAGACTTGCGTCTCGATCTGAGTCTGGGTGAGTCGATTAGTGAGTTAGTTTGTCGACCTATGATGACAAGTCAATAATTTTTTTGAGTTATTATCTCAAATTCAGCAAAGTTCTTAACCCTCCAGGTGGCCCACTTCGTTGAAGGCCTGCACCAGCAGCTCTCGCACATCCACTCTCCCCAGACACAGTCTGAGGCGCTTGAAGTGGTTCGAACTTTGGCTCAACACCACTCAAGCCTCGTAGTGAATGCCCTCCTTACATATCCTTTACCTTATGACAAGTAAGTCATTAGAGGCAGCTGTAAATTCTGCCCCATGCGTGATACGTTGGCTTTCCATTGCGGTTTTGTGTTCTTTTTTATGTTCTTTTCTTTTATTTAAAGGGGATTTTATTTGTCTGTATATATTAAATACGCTTGCATTAGTAATTTCAGTTGCAAGAGAGCACTCATATAGTTAGTTTCTCTTCTTGTTTTTCTATTTGCACTGTTTTATACTCTCTACCGTGAGCCATATCCAACTAACTCAAGTTGCTGTCCTAATTCAGCATGTTTTTTATACATATGAGATCACATTAGATCTCATTAGAAACCACACTGAAGTGCAGCAGCTTCAGAAGAAAGCAGAGTAGTGCGATTGGCCTCGTCTGTATATCCTAGATTTTGTAACTTGTTTTAAAAATAATAAAACTTGAAACTTGAAGTGTTGTTATAAATTGGCTTGTCATTAGAGTTGAGAATAAGCTTAAAAGAACAGAAAAAATTCTAGCTCTCCAGCATTACTGTGTGATGAATATCTGTGCAACAATCTGCTGCCTGAAAAACATAAGCACCGCCTCATTGAAATGCAGTGTACACTTGCTGTATATGGCACTAGCCATCCAGAGTGATTTGCATGCAGTGTATCGACTACTACGCTGAATTAATGCTGATAATCTTGCAGTATCGTATGTACATGTGTGTTTGCCATGCGAGTGTCTGTGCTGTGAATTTCCATTCTGTTTTCTCACTGGTGTTTTTTGCTGCTATTTCAAATGTCTATCCATATGCGCATTGCACCCAAGTCATAATCATTATTCGGCTGGCCTCTACAACTGAAAATGTGGGTTATCTCATGCAGCATAGCATGGCAACAGCTCAACAATAAGTTGAGAGGTCAAATTAACAATATCCTCGCACATTGCATACACACCGCTGGCCTCTTTGCGGCCATTAAGCGAGTGAACACATGCCGAGAGAAATTCGATGTTGCACAGGTGACCTTTTCGCATGAAAACATTGCCAACAAGCAACAAAGAGCCCCATGCTGTCACTTTTTGCCATGTAAAAGTCAAGTGGAAACTGTGGCTCAAAGTTCCTTTGATAAACTGTAGAGAAAAACATACTTTTGAACAAAACAAATATTAGGAAATGGAACTATTTGTTACGTAGTAGATTTGATTAAATTGATGTTTGTGATATCAAAGGTGATTGTATTTATGTATAAAATGGCAGTGAATAGTATGCAATGGCTGAAAGAGTTCTAACAAAAGCTTTTTTTTTATTCTACTCGTAGGTGAAATCACTCTTAACTAAAACAAAAAGCAGTTGCATTGCCATGAGCATTCCCTTCTTGAAATTAGAATTCAAGAACAGAGTATTTTTTTCGTTCCCTTTTTTCTATTCGATGCAATATTCTTCAGGGCACTGTTAATTTTTCATTAATTTTGTGTGCACAGGCATGTATGTGAGTGTTGGTCAGCACTGGCCAAAGATCCTGCCATGGGTGCTAGTATTGTCAACCACCTGCTGGAAATGCTGGACAACCAGGGATCAACAGAATATCAGCCAGACCCCAAAAGCCAAAGAGGCACTATCAGAGTGGCTGTTAGGGATGTGCTTGCGGTGGGTACCTTTCGATTGAGGCTGTTGAAAGCACATTACAGGCTGCTAGTCTGTGGTTGAGTTTTTGGAGATATCAATAGTTCCATTGAGCTGCAAGAATGTAACGTTATTCTAATTATATATGTGGTTTTTCTACCCAGTGAATTAAGTTGGCAGAAAAGCCATTGCATGCAGAAAAACATAGACACTGCAAAGGGGTGAAGTTTTCTAGCCTTGCTAACTACATTAAAGGGGGAGGTGGCATTGAAAAAAAACATTTTTATTTGTTGACCTACAGCAATGAAATTTGGCATGCATACTCATAAGTGTCTCGAATAGGGAAATATGCAGTTTCATTACGATAGCTTCAGTAGTTCTCAAGTTACATAATGCTACATGGTCAAATTACATGGTCTGCTCGTGGAAAGCCTAGCGCGGCAACAAAACATGCCAGGAAGCTGCAAATAGTGTTGATCTTTACTCAAAAGAAAGCTACAGGGTATGGCACTCTAAGAATTTTTTAATAAGTTCTCCTTTTTTTTTAGAAGTCATCATGGCTGCCGACACACATTGTCAGAAACAGTGGCACGGACAAATCATCGTCTAGAAAAATAACAGGCCCATAAAACAGAAATTAAAGATTGCTGTACCCACAAGCAGTGTTCAGAGATTCAGGAAAAAAAAAACAATCAAAATCGGTCCAGTCATTCCCGTGCTACTCTTTCCACGAGCAATGCACAATGTCCAAAACACACTTGTGAGAAAAAGCCTGTCGAAGTTTTCAACAGGCTGTTTTCAATGAACTTTTTTGTTTCTCGTTGGATATTAATGAAAATTGGCACAAGCACTAAGAATGACCTCACAGTGCTTTCATAAAAGTTTTGAAGCGATATCACAAATACTTTACGAGAAACAAATTATTTCTTCATTGAACCATGTGGAGGGGCTGAGCATATTGTCAAAAAAACAGTATTCAGAAAGCTGCGTTTAAAGTTTCAACTTTTCTTTACGTCTCTAAGACACCTAAAAATTGTGATCTCAGGTTTGTCTTGTGATATTTGACTTCTTTTCATGATTTACTCCTTTTCATGATTTACAAAGAACAAGTATGGATTTCAAACCTAGTTCTTTATATGCAGGAGTGGTGTGATAGGTATGACAGAAAAGTTTGTAATTGAATAAAATCATATACTGAAATTATTACACATATTTTTTGTGCTGAAGTTGTAATTAGCATAATTAAGTACTTGATTACAAATATATTCACGGAACTTTTCTTTATTTGGAGAGAGGTTTATTGCATCAGAAAAATGGATCACACCATGACGGCCTATGCCTTTTTCCAAATAACAAAGTTATGGGCAGAAGACTGGTGGCACTGGAATTTCTAGCAGTATAATTAATGATACGAAACGGGCATATAAAAATTCGTGCCCCTGATTCATACATGCTCTTTCGCCGCTCTAGCCGTGAAACGCATCATCATACAGCCGGTCCCGGAAACTCTAATCTACAGCAATTCATTAACCTCGGAACATTCACAGACGTTCGTGGCGATATCAAGCACGACTCCAAGCACGTCTGAATTGCATCACAAAAGCTTATTGACAGCACTCCATATGACCGTGGGGTGCGCGGCCGCGTGGACAGTGCAGCCGGCGCGTAATGCACTTGCCGGCGGCGTTCGATGACGATGCGCGAAATGTGTAACTACGATGACAAAAAATCGGTGCGCACTGCACTTGGCATCGCATTTTCAAATGACGACGCGCGAAACTGCTAGCCGCTGTTTCGTGCAATCCTTGGCAGTGAGGGGGGGGGGGTGACGAGCTTGACTGAGTTGTTCGCTGCCGATGCATAAAGTGCCCGTACGTGATTCAGAGGAGCTAGCGAGTGATGTGGTACATTCCTTGCGAAGAAGCACGTCACCAAGAGTGTGCTTGCGCATCGTTCCTGCCCGCAGTCTCGCTGTCAGCGGAGTTAGGGCTAAAGCCGACTCCGATGACGCGCCGCACTTGTAGACCGCCGCGCGCCACTCGTAGTAATCTGATTGTGCATCCGGTGCGGCCACTCGTAGTAATCAGATCATGCCACCGCTTACAGCTTCGTTGCTTGCGAAGAAGCACGTCGCCAGGAGTGCTCTAGCGCGTCGTTCCTGCCCGCAGTCTTGCTGTCGGTGAAGTTAGGGCTAAAGACGACTCCGAAGATGACAGCACCTCAGCTTGAAGTTTTATGAAGACGATGTTTTGTGTCAGCCTGAGACATCCGCAGCCATTCTTGGCTTGTTTTGTTTACAGCCTCAAGTTTCCTGCTCCTCTGCAACTGCGTAGTGCAAACCTTTGTGCACAATCTTATAGCTGCTATGGTTACGTGTGAGGTCCCTTTGTCATTGGGGTGCGGTGTGCTGGCACCATCTGCAAAACTTTCTCCTCACAAGAAGGCCACCGGAGCACATCTTGGCCCCGACTACGAACAGCGTGAAAGGTTTAGGACTGCACCTGATATTGTTTCGTTTTTTTTTAGTATGATTTGCAAAAATGCAAATAATTATGCTCGGATGCATATACAGTAGACTCCCTTTAAGATGAACTCCAAGGAACCTCGATCAGGAGTTCGTCTTATCAGAAGTACCCCCAAAAATCAAATGCTAACATTCCAAGTATACCTAAATATGTTGCTTGAAAACACAGAATGATGTATACTTACAATGGGGAGAAAAGGAATAAAAAAAAGCATTTATTTGGCTCAGATTGTTAGAAACTATGTTTTCAAGTAGAGTACTTACTATTTAGACTCATCTAGCAAGTACTTGATTTCACAATTTAATAATAAATATGTCATGAATAAATTGCTACTACATTTTAACAATAAAGCTGTGAAACGACCTTGTAGCACGACCCTTTCTTCCATTTTACAGGCTAGGGGTCGGGAGGATACCAGCATTATGCGCTGACGTTTCTTTTCCACTTATCACGCTTTTTTTCATCCACATCACATTTAGCTTTCGGTATGCTTTGAGTCTTGGCGCCAGAAGTCCTCCCTCTCTCTCTTTTTTTGTTCTATTTTGCTTTCTTGGTTCGCCTCAATGCCCCTATCAAGACTATAATGTTCGTTGTGCAGAATCTTCGTTGTTGTTGGTCGCTGCGAGAGTTCGTCTTAACAGAAAAGGCGTGTTACGCATTTTGTCTTCAGCAGATTTTTTTTGTATTGAGTCTATGGGAAACCAAACACTATTTTGTTGTCTGTCTTAAGCAAGAATTCATCTTAACAGAGTTCATCTTATAGGGGGATCACTGTATTGTAACGCCAACCTATGCGGGGGCAGGTGGCTCATGGAAAGAAGTGATGCTAGACGAAATAGCGACATTCATGGGACATCTGATTTATAGAGGGATTATTTCTTCTATAAATGAGCACTGTGTGCAGTTATGTGCCCCCCCCCCCCCCTCTCCCTCTGGGGAAACAGGCTTGTACAGCCATGTTTATCTGTTGCTATTTAGCACCATTGCCATTTCTAACACTTTACTTGCATCACTGTAGGTACACTGGCAGTAAAATACTGGAGACCATTGGAGCACGTGGCGAACAGCCCAATGGTGTCGTCTGACAGCAGCTTGAAACAGGGTTGCCATTGGATAGAAATAAAAAAAAGCCAGAATTCAAGCCAAAATAGCCATACCATTTTACTTTATTGGCAAATTCGTAGCCAAATAGAAGAAAATGTTCTTATGACAAGAAATTTGATAAAATCTATGTTATTTTGAGTATGTAAACAAAACTGAAAATAAGACCATAATTCTTTCTATCTGGCTTCAAGCCACAGGAGAATTACAAACAGATTGTGATAAATTGTTTTTTTATTTATTTTTGTAATTGTGTACCACAAGGCCTAGAGTATTGCTGAGGAGAGTGCATATAACACAAACACAAAAAATTAAGAGTATAGTGAGTAAAAAAGAACAATGAACAGACTTCCAACAGTCTAGTAAGCTTCGTGTTTTAAAAAACAATGATTTCAGTGTGGTGATAAAATAAGTGGTTTGTCAATCATGCTTTACTGGTATATTCTATGAAATAAGCTCAAGCAGTGAAAATTTTAACGTGGTGCTAGACAGGGAATGGAAAGGCAGCATTTCGTGGCTATTATGTTAGCAGTGCAGTTGTTGTCCTAAAGGATTTGGTCTTCCTGTTAATATTACATAATATATGAGCCTATAAATATTCATAAGTCACGGGTGCTAAAGCAACACTGTTCAAAAGATAAATACCATATTTACTTGCATAATGCCCACACTTTTTTAGCCCAAGATCTATGAAAAGTGTGGAGGTGTGAGAATTACTTAGGAAAAATTTTTCACGAAAACGTACAGTGCATAAAAAAACAACTACGAAGTGGCCGCAAATCGGGATTGACACGTCAGCAACTAACTCCAAGCTTTGAGAAGTACTAATCGAAACAATAAAACCACAAGTTTTATTGCAAGGCAAGGCAAGATTTATTTGTAGACATAAAAGCCACTAGCAAATAGTGTCTCAAGGGTCCTCGCACAAAGACCCTTCACGTAATCAAGAAACGCTGCCTCAACCTGTGGATATTACAGGTTGCCACCAACCTTGAGCTGATGGCCATCTGACATGCAATCGTTCGCAGTTGCCTTCTGAAGAAATTGAATTTTACCATCCATTCATTCCAGTCTTAGGCACATGGAAGGCTCGACACAGCAGCCCTGTTGTCGTTGCTTAGTGGACAGTCAATCACTTTCAGGTTGAAAGTAGCTGTGTAGCTTTGGTATTGCATCATACTGTAACCACAGAATGGACACAACAATCTACGCTACAATAGAATGCTGCAACAAGCACTTGGCACTTTGGCTTGGCTTCCATTAGACTGAGGCTCCGTGTGGTCATATTGCACAATCATCGTCAGTGGTTGGGAGAAGCAGACATTACAGCAGCAATTTTCGGGGATGCAATAATTACTCACAGAAAAAAAAAACTTATTTTTGTTGGGCAATTCAAGGGATACGAGAATTATGCAAGTGCGAGGATTATGTCAGTAGTAGATACAGTAGGCAGAAATTTAGTGTTTCAAAAAACGAATAGCCTTAACCTTGCATGTTCTGACATTTAGTTCAGTAAATCATATTTTGCACCTGGTGGTGCAGCAGCTATATCGTATTATTTAGTATAAGTTTATTGCGTTTGTATACATTTATGCAAGATAGTTCTTCCCAGAAACAGCGTAATTTTGAAACATTCGAAGTCAGTGAGAGCGTTAAACGTTTAGGCAGTTTTTTTTTTTTGAAGCTGCAGTACCATATTGATTACTATATTTACCACAATAGCAGACCAGCTTCATTTTAGGGTTGATATTTGTTTTGTGGGATGGTTCTTTGATTGACGCACATGAGCCTGTTGGCTTATGTGACAAAAAAAGGTTGAAAACAGTGGCTGATCTTTAGGCTTTCTTTTTTTTTTACATGCAAGAAATAGGAACTATGGCTACTAAATGCAGCTGAACGTAAGTTCAATGTAACTAAAAAGTAGCTATGGTGCCAAGTTCAAATTTTTGTAGCCAGACAAGGTCCTAAAAGTAGCCAATTTGGTGCAAAGTAGCCACCAACGGCAATCGTGCTTGCAACGCTCAAGAGGGAGCACTGCTCAGGCATGTCTTTTTCTTACCTGCAAGCTTGCTCGTTCACTAGCATCAAGTGCGCGCACATGGAAATGTCGAAGAAAGCACAAGGTGCGACTTCTGCAGTTGCCGAGGAAGCACCAAGTGATGTTATTGTAATAAAAATATGGAACTAGTACTGGCATTGTTTGGTGTGTCCCACACTCTTCATTTTGTTCTATGACTCTCCTCGGTGCTTGAAACATGCTTTACATCGATATTTCTCAAATCAACATACACGATGAAATTATCCAGCCCATTAATTTGTTGAATTTGATCATGCATGGTGCAATATCTTGTGGTGCTTGCAGCAAGTGTCTTGTGCCTATTCATGAGCACAATGACAAGAAACTTGGAATTCAGCTGTTTATAGCACAAAGCTACAAGAAAATGCACATGTATTTAGAAAAAAAAAGTTGACATCCTGACGAAAAGTTCGTCCTTCACCCCAGGCTAGGGCAAAGTTTTTTTTCAAATAGAAAACTTTTCAATCAGGCAAATCGCTCGGTGCCTCTGTAATGACTGCATAAGTGGCGCCTTGGGTTTCCTCTGGAGTTCTGGTGCACATTGTTATGCCACAGACATGGTCCTCGTTTGGGAGCAGCTCTTCTCACGAGATCGAGCACTGTTCCGGTGAACTGTCTCCCCCCTCCCAGCGTCACCTTTCATGCAGAAGGCGGCACTGTACAGTTTCAGGGACAACATTGCTTCCTCCGCCGAACCACCTTGCAATTCCAGGTATGGCTGCGTCTCCTCCTCTGAGCCCCGAGAACTGGTCTTAGAGAATGGACCAAAGACATTATTTAAGGCCGTGCCGGCCCCATGTTTAAAAGAATTTTGCCCCAGCCGACATTGTCGTGCTGGCCGGCTCTGTACAAACGACAACCTGCTATAGTAAACGCTCCTTCTTGTTGCTGTTTTCAAAACTGGTTGCCTCCCTATTTCGACTCCGGGCGAAGGCTTCAGCAAAGTCGGTTCGACTGCTCGCCGCTCTCGGCTACCGCTACCATCGCAACAAACAGGAAATCCTAACAACATGCTGTTGCCCCGCCGCGGTGGTCTAGTGGCTAAGGTACTCAGCTGCTGACCCGCAGGTCGCGGGTTCAGATCCCGGCTGCGGCGCCTGCATTTCCGATGGAGGCGGAAATGTCGAGGCCCGTGTGCTCAGATTTGGGTGCACGTTAAAGAACCCCAGGTGGTCAAAATTTCCGGAGCCCTCCACTACGGCGTCTCTCATAATCATATGGTGGTTTTGGGACATAAACCCCACAATTCAATTTCAACAACATGCTGTCGCAAAGAGCAAATGTACAAGATGGCAGGTAAAAAAGGACACTCGTGTGCAGTGCACGCACTGGTGCTTGGCAAACAGCTATCAGAAAACGTGGTGCATTTTTCCATATGCTCATGGTCTCTAACACTTCGACTGCTGCTACACTATAGTTTTCTTATATCTTGGGGCGCTGGCTTTTTTCTTCACTGCATCAAACTTTTTATCAGATGGCTTAGATATTAGGTATTTAGATTGATACTGTGATGAGCAAGCAATTTCATGCTGCTATTTTAATTCACTTTATTTTTCATCTAGGCCATCTGTGCCCTCCAGGAGATGTTCAATACTGCAGGAATGGAGTCCTGTGCTAAGGAGGCATTTGGCCAAGTTTTCTCAGCTCTTCTATTGGCTGCAGCAAGTTATGTTGGCGTCAGTGCAGTGAGCTTCACTCCAACAACCACTGCCTCCAAACAAGAGTCCGGAGCCAGCCCCAAACTGCTTCCACTACGGTACCAAACATTTCATTTTCTCTTGAAAACAGTAACCAGGAAACATGCGTCACATGTAGGCTTGTGCGAATGTTCGAGCACTTCGAATACCTACTTGAAAGAATATTTGCTTCGATTCGAATTTGAGTTATTGGAAATTTCAAAGTATTCAAAATGAACCAATACTGTATTTACTCGCATTATTTGCAGTCTCACCTAATTTGTGCACCCCAAATATTTAGCCAGCTTTACTAAAAAAAAAAAAATTTACTCGCATATTTTGCTCTCGCCAACATACGCACGAGAAGACTAAAAGCTGAAGAGTGCGCTTGCTGATACGCATGTTTCTTGCCATTGAAGGACTGTGTGTGAAAGGTTCAGTCCTTCGTTACCACCGTATTGTGGGACCTGGTTTCTCCCAGCATTATTCAGGAGAGCGTCAAGAAAATTGGGCATTTGAACATGCCCGATGGCACCAAGGGCGAAACGCTTTGGGAGGGCAGTGACAGCGGCCATGAAAAGAATTTCTAATTGCACCTCTCTATTATTGAAATGAACTAGACTGCGCTTGATCGGATCTGGTTGTTTAAAGTAAGTGCTAACTTTGTTAAATTAACAAGTACACTTAGTGTATGCTCCAATTTCTTTTTTATATTTATTTACCATGCACATTAGGACTATGTATATACTACTGCACATTATTTTGGATGCGTTCGTGAAATCTCTGTGCAATTTGTGATCCCCCCTTTCAGAGCTCCAAAATAGAAAAAAAAAAATGTGCAAATTATGCTAGTAAATACTAAAGGTGTGTATTATATATATATATATATATATATATTAATGAGATCTAACAGACAATAATGCCAAGGAATTTATAGGGGAAGTTAATAGAACAAATGGAATGTAAATAAGAAGAAAGAAAAGTGGGTGAAAAAATAACCAGCCGTGAGCAGGAATCGAACCTACGACCTTCGAATAATGCGTTCGATGCTCTAACCACTGAGCTATCACAGCGGCCTTCCCACCATTCACTTTTTTGGGTTTATATGTGAATTTAGAAGTGGGAGTGTCAGTCAGCGCCATCTGTAAGCCAAGCAGCTAGTGTGAAACCACAGTGTTCAAATTTGCTTCAATTTGAATTGAAATTATGGCAAATTTTAAAGTATTCAAAATGCACATAGGTGTATATTAATCTGTATGTAACCCTCGTAAAGGTGGTTTTACTGCAGTTGAGCAGGACTGCTAAGCCAGGGAAGCACCTAATTTTATGTATATTAGTTGGCATGTAACTTTCTGCAAAGGTGGTTTCACTGTGGTAAAATTGGGCCAATTCGTGAAAACACCCATTTATTGGATATATGCAGTGCTTTGAAGGCCCACTTCAAGATTAAATGAACATATGACTCACATTGATTCAACTTTTTTGACGTTAAAAAGCTTGTTCTACCAGTTTATATGCTCTAAGTATAGTAATTATTAAAATGTAATATATTTTGCATGTTATCACTTGCATTTTATAAAAAGTCAGATCCTGCTACTATTTAAAGTTGTTTCCACTTCCTTTGAACAGCAACAGAAAAAAGGCATTTGCACAGGCCTTGTTTGAATTTAAAAAATATATATATCGTGCAGGTTAATTAGGTCATGACAAATATGCCCATTTTCTTTTTGAACATCTGGTATATACTATTTGAATTCGATCTGAAATTATTCAACCAATATCACGCTTCGCTTCAGACCTAGAATTCACTATTCGCACAAGTCTAATATATAGATATATATGTGTGAAGACAAATTTCGCATGCTTATGATTGCATCCAAGCAAGTCTATTCATATTGGAGATCGCTGTTCTGTGCTCTTACCCTGTCTCTTTTTGAGTGGCTATCACTACTGTTCAATTCTATGTGATTGAAGCATGTTCATATTGGCATTGGATTTCTATGCTCGTCTCAACATCATCACTGTCACTGCTTTTTGTTGAGAAATGCAGTATATATTGTGAGACTAGAGTGACATAGCATCATTGCTTTTTACTATTTTATTCTAAGGGTCGAAAAGCTTCTCATATATGTGTTGTAATATATTTACAGATGTGCACTTCAGGCTTTTGAGGCCTTTCTAAGGCGGGCAGGTCAGGAAGAAATTGTGGCCAGTATGGAAAAGGATGGCCATTGGGACAGCATGGAGCAAGACGAAGTGTTTCCAGATTCTATTACTGTGTTGGCTGGGTGAGTTTTTTTCAAAGTTGGCATGTGCTCATGTTATACCTCGATGGTCATAGTGCTTGGCTGCTGACTCTAAAGTCGCGGAGTCAGTACTATCTATGGTGATGGCATTTCAATGGATGCGAAATGCTTGAGGCATATGTGCAGTCAGCCAAATCATTAGCTATTGTGCATGAGTGCAATTTTTTCGTGTATCTTTGCCATACGACTGAATTAAGTTTCAGTTGAATCAGGGACAAGTGTATGCTCATAAAGCACATGTCCATAAAGCAAGTTTTTGTAACTTCGTTCTATAATATGGTGCCATCAGACAAAAAAGTGATCGCTGCGCACAATAGCTAAACTTTTGGCCAACTGTACTGTGTGTTGTTAGTGCTTGGTAAAGAAGCTTAGCTGGTCAAAATCATCTGGACCTTTCCACTCTATAGTCTCTCATAGCCCGAGTCACTTTGGGAGGCAAAGTTGCGGTGTTTTTATTTTTATAAAAATGTTTTTTTTACATGGCATGTTTTTCTATGGCTAAGTCGCTCTTCTGTATAAATTAGTCTTTTTGTATACAAGCATTTTGAAAAATTGTATATTATTTGTGCTCATATACAGTAGCACCTTTTTACTTATTAGCATGATGGTATGCAATTGCTGTAAGGCCTGGTTAATTTTGCCTACAATGATTTGTAAAATTTTGTGATTTGGACTTGAGCTTTTGTCTATAGTCAAGTATGGGAATTAAGATTTTGAACTCTTGCTAATTTGGACATATTTGGCCACACTGAGCAATCCTCTGGACATAGCTAGTGTGATGTTCTACAGAGATGTGAAAACACGTTCCAGTGTCCAGCCTGAACAAGCAGGTGCAGTGCACATTGCCATAATTATCAGCAGGATGCAAACACGAATGCTTTGTGCTCACTTTCGTTCAACATGGCATTACATTGGTTGCATGGCTTCAATGGGGCCCCCATGCATGATTACATTATTACTAATTAGGCTTTATCTACAATAGTTTCGGCAAGCAATGGTTTGGTTTACCGCCGCAGGTTCGATCCCGGCCGGCAACAAGCTGTCTTTTTGTCCACGTTAATATTTATATCATGTATATATCAGATTTACCTTATTTACTCGCGTAATGAACCGATTTTTTTTTTAGAAATGTTGACACCAGTTTGGGGGGGGAGGTTCATTACGCGGGAGAAAAAAGTCACAGGAGTTATAACAGCGAAATTTTCGCAAGTCGGTTTTGCTTGTCTTGGTCCACCAAATACGCGGCCAATCTTTTTGTAGCCTGAAGCTGTTCTTGCTTTTTCCTTTAATGAATGCGCACGGATCGTTGCCAAAGTGTCGTCCAGGCGGTTGGTTTCCATGCTCCAGCGCGATCTCGACCAACTTTTAAGTTTAAAACGAGCCGTGTTGATAGTGCACCAGTCAAACGCGCCCTGCGCAGCAGGTGTCCCCCCAACTAAATTAACTACGCAAACCAGACAACAAAAATGTAACGTCTCATGGCAGTGCACAAACGTTGCGGGTGCACGACATGCAGTCAGTGTGGTTGCACTTCGCATAGCCTCCGACATGGCAGGCGTGTGGTGTGTTTCTAGACCACGCCCTCATCATCTCGGACGCCATGCGCTTTGTTTTTTGCTTTGTTTTCTTGCCGCTGTGCTTACATGGCGCTATAAGCAAAAAGGTTTTTTCTGGACTCTCCAGATGACGCTCTGCCCCAAAAGGTGTGACTTCTAAATTTTAATCGACGTCTTTGGAGCTCGCGCTGCCCACAACTGTTTAGCATGGTTTTTAAACTGTGCTTTGACTTCTATGGCATCATTATTTTGTGATATAATGGCATGATTTAACGTTGTTTTGATCATTAAGGGCACTGGCTATCATACAAAAATAAAATTAACAGATACATTAAAAAAAATTTTTTTATTCAAGGACCAAGGTGGGGGGTGGATGGGTTCTATGAGAGTCGGTTCATTACGCGAGTAAATGTGGTAATGTCATAATTGCTACAAATAATATCCCTGTAGTTTATTTATCCCAACTGAGTTGCACAAAATATTGACGTACAAAAGGAAGGCACCTGAACACAGCGCCGTTTGGGCAGGGTTTGTGCAGCTGTTGCGAGGAGAATCAAGGGTGAGAAGCAAGGCAAGGGTATTTGCCAGGTCAAGCACAGGGCCAAAGAGGTCGACTGCGCCGTCGCTGTGATGTACGACATTCCGCTGTCGTGTGGAAAGCATTATTTTGGACAGACGGGGTGTTGTATTAATAATAGCATTATGGATCACAAAGCTTCTCTAAAGGGACAACCATGCTTTAACCTATTATTGCATTGTAGTGTATGTGGCTGCGCACCCCCGTTTGGGGACACGAGACAGGGTAGAGCGCGAAATTGAAGAGGTGTACAGTAAAAGGATATCGCTGTCAGTCACTGTGCCAGCCACGGCAACATCGCTGTCAGTTGCGAAGTAATCGCCCAGGGGCACATCAGCTGGCATGATGCTCACATAGCGGCAGTCTTGCTCTTCGTTGGTTTGCTCATCAGCCACCACTCCCGGATCAGCAGTGATGTGCACGAAGCCCCTATGCCTAAAGCAGTTTGCAACTACTGCAAGTGGTGTGTTGTTTCACACGTATGTCAGCATGTGGATTGCACTTAGCAGGCTTACTTCGTACTGCTTGCCTGACTCCATGCAGAGCAACATCCGCTCAAGTACTTACCACCGATGGCGGCTTTTCACGAACTGTATGATTTCCTGGTTCATCGGCTTCAGGGAAATTGTAGGGTTCGGAGGCAGGAGTAGCAATTCAATGTTCTCGAGCCCGAACACCTTCGTGTGTGCGTTAGTTATCTAGCACGAACAATACCTTCTGAGCCTTGGCCGCAAAGAGGCGGTCGAGCTGACGCAGCCAGGCTTGAAAGAGTTCGGCAGTCATTCAAGCCTTTCTGTTGAACCGGTAGTCAACAGGCAGCTGCTTAATATTCTTAAAACATCTTGGCTTCGCAGCCTTCCCGATCACCAGCAGCGGCAGTCGCTCTGTGCCGGTCATGTTAGCAGCAATAAGAACTGTCACGCGCTTTTTACTTCGTTTCCCACCAATGCACCAGTCCCTTTTAAGCGCGATTGTCTTGTCAGGCAGAGCCTTATAGAACACCGCTGTCTCATCAGCGTTGAAAATGTTGCACGGCTCGTATGTAGAAAGGTGGGCGGATAATCCAGACCGCCAGTCCTGCACAACGCTTTTGTCAAGCGCACCTCTTTCACCACACACGTTGCGGAATACCAGCCTGTATCGCTTCTTGAAGCGATGGAACCAGCTTTTCGACGCATTGAAAGAGTCAATGTTCATAGTCACCGCCAACTTCGCTGCTTGTGCGCAGATAAGGGGGCTGCTCAAGGGCAAATGCGCATCGCGCGAAACGGCAATCCAGCACACAGCGCTTCTTTCAGCTTGGGATGCGCTGCCGTTCGAAGCCTCTTTCTTTGGTCGCCAAATATGTCCCCGTCATACGCTTGCATAATCTGCTCTCTGTTCTTCACGTAAGTGCTCAGCATACTTTTTTTCACATCGAACTTTTCCATCACTTCTTTTCGAGAGGCTCTCGCTTGTAACGCCTTCAATATTTTCACCTTCACAGCCAAATTCTTTGCTTCGTACTTCATCCTCTTTGCTGCGGGAGTTGGAGCGGTTGGGGCTGCAGGAGTCGGAGGAGAAGCCATCCCGGCGTCGCTGGGGCGGTGGTCACGCGCGCGCGCACAAAGTATACAACACAAACACACACAAACACACACACACAAAACACACGGTGATAAAAAGGAAATAAAATCCGGCAAAATTTTCAAAAAACAGCTAACAGTTAGACTGCAGATGGCACTGATCACGTACAGATGAATAATTTAAAGCATACTAGAGGTAAGCAATCTAACTCAGCCATCACGCGAACGTGTTCGACATGCAAGAAAAAAGGAAAGGCAAATCTGTAGTTTGCTCGTTGCTGATGACAGTAGCGATACACTGCCTTCTATTTTGGTTGTTTAAACCTCCATGTCATTTTTGGGGGGGGGGGGGGGGGGGGGGGGGTGCCTTTGAGATGTACTATCCATGGGCGAAGGCCACAATCCGATCCCAAAGTTGTTTAGGTGCGTTGTCGATTTGGCCGGCAGAATCCGCTGCTGCTTCTCCATCGTGACTCGACCGGGGTCAGGCGTTGGAATTAACCGAAGTGCGGCCGAATTTTTCCGAACTAATGAGAGTTTTCAGTCATAGAACAATGTACATTTTGGACGGGACCAGACGCCATGGCCGAATTAACCGAAATTCTGAATTAATAGGGGCCAAATTAACAATATTTTACTGTATTTTGTTAACAAACATGTTGATTCATGTCTCGCGAAACCCTCGGTTTTGTTACTTGCCGCTGAGATAATTTTTCTGGAAGCGCATCATTAATACAATCTGTCTGCTCTTCCAATCATTTCTTTCACTGTATGTGTTCTGGTAACTGCTTATACAGTCGAGCCCATATATAACGGCCCCACTTAAAACGAACTTTCGCTTAAAACGAACAATATCCACGTGACCGTGAAAATATACATTGCTTCAAAGGCACAGAATCGCACTTACAACGAACGTCTCCGAGCGCCGCTGATCGGTTACAGCGAACAGAGTCAGTGGTCTGCCGACTTCCCGGGAAACCAATTTCAACCATTGATCAGGCATCGGCGAGGTGCCCATACATTCTTATTGTTAAATGCCGACCCTGCCTCCGCGCCCCTCTAGTTGCTGCTCTCCCCGACCTATGGAGGAAGGAAAGCTGTTTCTTTCCTCCGTGCCCCGACTGCTTTTTGTTACGCACCCCTCCGTCCTTTGTTCCCCGCTACTCTGAGCACCCCGCATCACAAGACGAGGCCCGTGTTTTCACAGTGCCACCGATCTTTGGAAGACCGGTCGGCCATCTACCCTGTTTTCGATCGCTGGTTATGTTGTTGGCATCGCCGGCCTGGAGTGACCATACCATTTGCCAACATCCTTGGCCACTGACTGTATTTGATAGTCTGCGTCTAGTGCACGCACGTACGCTACCCCACAGATTCTGATAATTTGTGATTCGTTTCGTGTTTAGGACTTGTTCTCGCTCACTCACACTCAACTCAGCATGCCTCCCGTGCGCGTGTGGAAGCGCGAAAAGGTCTGTTGATTTGCGCAGAACGAATTGCGAAATATGGAAGTTTGTGAGGCTGCGCAAAGCCGCCGGCGCAACAAAACTATTTTTTGGCCACGGCCGCCGATTCTTCGAACACTGTTGTGCGCACCGGTCCAGGCGGCCGTGCTTTGACTTCTGCGCACTCAGGCACTCTTACAAGTTTTTCTACGTGCGAATTTCGCGGACCTTTCAAGCAAGCTACCCAACTTAGCTCCTTCCTGTGTGTTTTGGTTTTCAAGGTCGCCCTCCCGCCGCATCCCCCCCTCTCTTTATCGCAACTCCTTGCCCTTCTCTCGCAAATCTGCTCTCTTGATCACAACCCCTTCGCCCGTCTCCATCGCTCCACGCACCAGCCACGCTGGCTCGAATTAGTTTCGTTTTCTGACTGGAAACAGGCCCAGAGCTGTTCCTCGCGTTATGGCACGTGTGTCGCATGTCCGCGTCTTGCTCGCTCTTGGTGTGCGTGTGGTCATGATGGCAGATGAGAGGACTTGCACGCTTTTTCCTGCCGCTCAACAAAACGTCGAAAGTGTGACCGCTTGGCTTGAGTGTAACTGCGCGTTAGATGCCGCGTTGCGGAGCGCTTGCTCATTGCTGTAGACGACCTGGCAGCCAACTTGCCTCTTCCAGCATCCCGGTATTCAGCTGTGGAGATGGTGAATATTTCATGGGCGGCAGTGACGGCTACATGCACGCGAAACTGTTTTCGCGAAGCTGACTTCGTCGCCGTCGGGCCCAATGGCGAGACTGAAGCTTCCCGACAGGACAACTGCGGCGGTGATTTTTGGCAGCGCCTTGGCGACTCTGACCTGGGAGAGCGGGTGGGACATTTGTTTCGATGGTTTAATTACGGCCGGTGATGATGCCGACACTGCGGAACCGTGCACGGATTGGGGCATTGTGAATGAAGTACGTGGCGAGAGCGATTTGGAGGAATCGGATTGCAAGAACAACGAAACTTTGGAGCCAGTTCCTCATGCCACGGGCCTCGGCGAACGATCATCCTCCCGTTTTAAATGAACTCGAGATTGCCCTTATCGCTTCTGCTCTTCGAAACACGTGCATCACGGACTTTTTGGGGCAAGAAACGTTTGTCTTTTTACCCACAAATTTTTTTAAAAGCTGTGTTTCATTTACTACGAATTTCGGGATACAGCGAACGGATGCCGCGTCACGCTCAGGTTCGTTATAAGCTGGCTCGACTTTATATGTCTGTTTTTTCTAATAAAGTTGTGCGCTGTGTCCAGGTGTCTTCCTTTTGTACTTCAATTTTTCACGCAACTTAATTAAGATGAATGACCAACTCACCCAGCAGTCCATGCTTCTCAAGTACTTTCCTTAGCCTGCTTGTCTATTAGTTCTTGTTAGTTCTAATTACTAATGAGAAAAAAACTTACTGCACTGACAATATTCAGAAAAAAAGGCTGGAACTTTTACCTGCAGATAATACAGTATTTACAAATCCCTATTTTTTTTCCATCATATGCTTTGACACATAAGATATATGTAACATTGCGAGTCTGAGATTGTGAATGCACTTGGGCAAGACATAGCGCTCACATTTTTGGCAGCACTCGATTACCATTTCAATTATCATTGTCTGTTGTGATGAACCATGTGTGGACTTTTGATTTCACGAACTGGAAAACCCTGTTTCAATAGTTTTTTTACATTCATGCGAGAAGTATGCTGGGTATGAACTGTTTTTATTCAGAGCTTTTCATTGTTTGCTGCAAACAGGTCTGTATATTTAATTTGTTTGCCTTGTTAAGTTGTAGCCTTCTAACCAATGGCTCATCTGTTTTTACGTCACAGACTCATGTGCCAGCAGTGCCCTTGGCACATGGCAGGTGTGGTGTCAGGCCTGCAAAACAGGCTTGGCAGTAGCCCATTGGAGACTCAGCGCCTGGCCGTGTTGGCGTTGTTTGCTGAGCTGCTAAGCCAGCCTTTTGAGGGAGCGCCCCTGCTGGCTGAGCCGCTCATGAACCACCTGCTGGGCTCCCTGGCTGACCCTAGCCTGGCTGTGCGCCGGCTCTGCCTGCGCAGTCTTGCCCATCTAGGCCGTGCTGAAGGGCATCTGGTAAGGTCATGCTCTGCACTTGCCATTAGTGCTGCAGTGATTATCAACACACCTGTCCAGACTGCTGGCGGGATCATGTGGGCTAGCTCCCAGCTCTTTGGTGTGGAATTCTCATCCTGTGGGATTAGAGACAGCACTTGGCTGCATATTGAAATAGGCACCATGAGCCAGTATTTTGGAGTGCCATCAATACAGTACATAAACAATTTGTTCATGTCTGGGACACTGTGAAGCTTTCACTTGTTCAGCATCTGTGCAAGTCACAAGTATGGAGCATTGCGATGGCTGAAAAAAGCACTTCCACTGCCATAAATGTGCCGCGTTTCCAGGACTCTAATCAGTCCTGATGGCACTAGTGACAACTCTGTGCCGAAGCATATGTTGCATATTTATAGCAACATTTGTTTGACCGCGTGAAAGGGCCAATATATATATATGGCCTTTTTTTTTTCTACTGACAAAAATGTTTTCCTTCAGTCACTAGTGGCATGCAGCACGACTCCACTTCTTCAGATTTATTACTCTCATAGGCAAAGATTTTTCACAAGAGAATGTAAATTCATAATACAAGTTAACAAATCTTTTCTTGTTTACTCACCACTAATTACTTTACAGCACATGTAATATTGTACAAGGTCCATTCGTAATGTTAATACTAATGCCATAAAGGAAGAAGCAATAAGTGACCAAGCTTTGTAGGGAACTTGTGCTTTCTCTATAAATCTTTTCTATGAGACCATGCCCTTCTACCACTACTATAAGTAGTTATTCTGCTGACCACCACTAGACATTCATTTGCAGAGTTCATGAAAAAAATCTATTTGAGTAGTCTCTTGGGCACGGAGCAAAAGTTTGTAGCCTACTAAAGGCCGCACATGTTGCCGTTACCTACGCTGAGTGAACCAATGCATTTTTTTCGCAGCAGACTGAGACTGTAATCTTCCACTGCTTTGCCTTGATAGCATCTCTCAACTTGCTAATAAGCTTACAATACCATCTTCAATCTGTGATGGTTTGTCATTTTTCGGCATACTGTTCAGAAGTTTCAAAACATGCTTAGCTTGACCCTTTCCAAATATTGTGCAGCCTTGGCTGTGGTGAATTAAGGCTTTTCATTATTCTTTTTGTGATTTCTTAGTAGGTAATATTGCTGCACCGCATGTTAATTTATAGTGGTTGGGGGAATCAATGTTCGCTGCAGAAAGCTTAAACATTTCTGTTGCACTTTCTTTTGCAACCCCATCTTGCATTCTTGCGAGCAACCTTTGTTGTGCAGTTACTTCACATGCATCATCTTCCGGGCTAGTTTACCTGCATTGAAATAGTCCACGCTAATAAGCTAGGGCATGCATACCACAACAAGTTCAGCATCAATTCTGTTCCAAATTGATCTCTTTTAAATGAAGAAAGCAGATTACTGCTTGTGCATCAACATTCTCAAGAGATGCTGCGATTTTTGTATAAAGCCTGATCAGTGTGGAATGTTAATATATTGAATACTTCTTGCATACTATCCTATTTTGCAAAAATTGAGGAGATGTGCTCATTTTGATTCTTGTTGTCTGTGCTTGTTTGAAATTATAATGCAGATGAAACCAACTTTATTTGCTCTTTGTAATTTCAGAATGACACCAGTTTGTTAATCTTGCAACAAAATGTATTATTCTAATTATTCTTGGGCTTCAATGCAGAAAAAAAATTTTTTAAAGTATGCAGAACAAAGGTGAAATTTTTTAAAGTATGGTGCTTATCTTAAAACTGGTTTCACAAGCAGTGGTGCCTTGTGAAATTACTGGCTTCACTTTATGTGTGACAAGTTTATTAGAGCAGTTAGTAATTAGAAAGTTAACCATTGAAATTTTTTTATAAGCAGTGCATTTTAATTTTTATTATAAGTGGTAGTTGCTTTTTCAAGCGATCCTGCTGAGTGAGTAGAATCATGCATATAAAAAGTTAGAATTTTATTAACGTAAGAAAATAACCTTTCAGGGTTCGTACTGGTCCTTGAAATCCTTGAAAAACCTTGAATTTCAAAAGAGCATTTTCAAGGCCCTTGAAAGCCCTGGAATTTTTTGCCATCCTTGAAAGTTCTTGAATTTCCTGATCAGTGCACTCTCATATCGACATCGCAACATCCTAAACATGGTACATCGGTGTGTGAACCTGTCAAACTCCTCATTTCTGAGGTATTAACACTTTCGGGATCAAGGAAAAACGGACAGTCTCAAAGAGAGTTATGATAAATATTTTTAGTAAGTCAGATAAACAATATATTCTCATGCATTATACATCAAAATGAAGGTAATTGAATGGTCTTTTAGAAGCAGGCTAAATATTACAAAGAAGAAGTTTGTACATAATTATGAAAAAGTGTCAAAAGGAAAGTGTCACCAAAAACAAACATAAAAAGTTTTAAAAGGCATGTATGTACAAGTAAAAATGTGAACTAAAAAAATTTCAACATATACAAAAAGTGGCAAAATGTCTTCTTTCCTTAAAATAAAGCTTTGGTCCGCCTATCTGCAACTGCCTTTGTTCAGCCTGCTTTAGACTCTGAGCACTCGTGTGCCCGTCACAGCTGATGACTCTCATGCCACTGCAAGAAACAATTTCTAGTCGTTGTAAAACACAAGTGAACATCACAAGTTCTGCAAAAACAATTAGTTTTGAGTTCAACTTTCTTGATGTCATAGCACAGCTTGCAGCTTCTGCGCCTTTCTGCCTTTTCGGGCTTGTGGAGCGCTCATTTAGTGGAGAGTGGTGGAGGGGAGTGTGTGCTGGCTTGGCACTATCAATGTTGAAGATCTGATGAACGAGCTCTTCTCTGAATGCCAGGTGGTTGTATTCAGCTTTTCTTTCAAGTTTGGGGATATCCGGGTGTGATGCACGGTGTGCTTGAAATAAAATGAAACTATTCACACAGGCAATATCAATGCAGTGGAAGAAGAGTGTCTTCCACCACCGAACACTTCTCATGAGGGCATTGTGATAGCCACTCATCTAGTCTGATTTATCTACTCCTAGCATTCCAGCATTGTATTCATATATAAGCAATGGCTACTGTATACTGTACAGAAATTTGAGCCCAAGTATTTCCCCTTTTTTCCATTCTTTTGCTGTGATGGTCATATTGGCTGTGTGAATAGTGCTCATCATGTTGACAACACGACGGTCTTTCCACTGCAAGTATAATATACCACGATTGCGAAGCCATCTTACGTCCCCACGTCGGGCTTTTTTTTCCCATCGTGAGTCTTTCAGTTCGACCGGAAATCCTCACCCGTCTTTTCTCATTGTACCGCAAGCCAATGTTTTTCGGTCAGTCAGGTGACTGAACAAACGCGTCGACATGTAAATGTTATTCATAAATATTCTGTACCCCTGATCAAGATATTCAGCGCACAGCTGGCAAACTACATCGAATGCTAATCCATGAGGTCCTGGCTCATCCCACTTGCCAGTATATACACTGAAACATACCGTGTATCGGGTGCCGGGATCAGCTAAGACCCAGAGCTTGTAGCCCCATTTTATGACCTTATCTTTCATATACTGCCTGATTCCTGATCGCCCTTTGGATTTCACCATCCATTCGTCCATGGAGAGATCACGATGTGGCTGAAAAAGTTTCGCGGACACTTGATTCGCATACTCCATGAGCCACCACACGAACCGGAGTTTCCCCCTCGATAGCTGGCTCACATCGTCCAAGTCGGGAACATGGAGCATAGCGAGCAACGCTATGGAGTCGCATCTGGGCATTATTCATCGTGGAAGCAGGCCATTGTAGTGCTCACCCACGTTCCAGTAGAGCTTCAAGCGCAGAACCTTGACAATGCCCATGTAAATTATGAGGCCTATGAATTTCATCATTTCATCCATGGTCACCTCTTCCCACGAACCATCTTGACGAGCGTGCATCAGTTTTTCTAGTATTTTCGTCCAGGCATATTTGTTTGAGTTTTCACAAAGCATAGCGATCACTTCAGTTGTGAAAAAAAGAGCAAAGAAGTCAAGGACCGTCAGAAATTTCCTTTGTCCGCTGAGTGCCACGCCTATGTAGTCAGTGATGTAAACACCAGGTGCTCGATGCGGCGCAGAGACGAACCACTTCTGCGCTGGTGGCAGGAAGTCATTGCCGTACGTCGTTGAAACCCTGCCAAACAAACATAACACACTAAGAACATGTAACGGCCGTGCAAGCTTGCTCAAGAGCAAGCTGAAAGGAAAGCGAAACTAACCTTTGTCCACTTATTGAACTTCCAGGCTGATCCTCCCCTGACTCGCTGTAGCGGAATCGGGAGATCCGGACCGTTTTTCAAGCGCGCCGCGTCGCGAACTTCACGTCATTCTTTTGATCAGCTGACGCGACCGCACCCGAGAGAAACTGCGATTGTCCGCCGCCACCTCCCGGAAAAGAAACAAACTACTCGGAAAATGACAGAGTAGTGTTAGAAATACCGCGCAGATGGTGCTACATGTCAAAGCGCGCAAAAAATTTAGTTTGAAAGGGCGTTAAAACCCATCGGTCGTATACGACCGAAGGCCCTATGGGCTGGTCCTAAAAGTGTCAATGTGGCGTGGCTGCACATTCTCATTTTGCAAAAGTGCATGTGAAAAAAAGTTAGTTTCTGGCGAGGGTAAAGCATTGAATGTGATAACAAGAACTTAGAATGTCATACGAAGAAGGGCAAGCAACCCCATACATGCGATGCACCGCTTAAGCACGGACGCACGAAAAGCAAGCGCACAGGATGAGTGCTCATGAACTACTGTCATAGCTCGACACTGGAAGCGTGTTGCTTAAACAAACCAAGAATGTTTTTAGAAAAGAACACACTTGTATCCACAAGATGAGTGTAAATTAAACTGTCCCAGTTGTTACTTCTTAGTTGTTGAGCAACGTGCTGCGAGTGTCAACTGTGCACAAGCTGACACTCTTAATGGTATGGTGCCATCAAATTTCAAGGCCATAGCAAGCACCATGTGTGTTTAACAAT